GGAGAGAGAAAGAAACACTTTTACTTTTACTACTCAGAGAATAGCAGCTGATAACAAAGACTGGCAGTAGATCCAGCTTTACAACCCAAGGTGCCATCAGAATGAAGCATTACTTTAAGAGCCTTCCTCAGCATGCACTCAGTAGCAGGTTTTATTGAGAGAAAAGTGTGTCCTCCTCTTGAGCGACTATAAAGCTGATAGTTTGATATCCTCAGTGAAGGACAAAGAGTATGAATGGATGGATTTAGTTATCATCTTTAGGTCGTGTAAGCTTGTAAGCTGTGGTGAACTCTCAATAGGACAGCCGAGTGCTGAGACACACAGCACTGTCACAGTTTATGTCATTTTCTGCTGCCATGTTGTGATGTTCTGTTGAATGTCATGTCATTTTCTTTTACATTTTTTCAAAGATAGTAGAATTATAATTGAGAGAAAAATCTACCATAATCATATTATCGCTGTCTGTCATTTTAGTTTCTCTCACTCCCCGTATGTCGATTTAGTAAATGCCCATAATCCAAGTAAAGGTCTTGAGGTCAGCTGTCTTGGGAGAGAGGGAGGGTTCACCCTGGACAGGCTGCCAGTCCACCAGACACAAACAAGCTCACATGCTCACACTTATCCCAAGGGTCAATTTCGACACACCAGTTAACCTAAGTTGTAGATTTTTTATGGTGTGAGGATATACCTTGTGATTCACTTCAAACCAAAGAGTTCTAATTCAAGATTAATTCAGATGTCATAATTTAATCAGAAGCTGCACAACACAATTTAGAAAAAAACATTTTTCTCAAGCTGTGCATGTGGCCCTTTGGTGCTCAGACATGTCACAGAGGCCTGTGCTGATTGGGTAAAAGACTTTCCCATGCAGCTTTAATCACCTGAACAGAGCTGGCCTCACTTGGGGTATGAGCGCCACATAATTGTTTGGTATATTTCCAGATAGAAACAGAATAAAATTATACAAAATGTCATTAATTAAAGATGATGAGAGTAAGTACACAATACCAGGAGCTCTGATACTTTGAAGTATAGGATGTTGAGAACTGCTCATACACACTAACTGGGGTCTGAACTTTAGCTGCACTCTGTGACACTTAAGTTCAGTCCTGAGTTTGCCAGAATTTTTCATGTAATTGATATCACTCATTGCTACCCTGAACACTGGCAAAAGTTTAAAATTCCACACACGTCCATTGTTGTGTGTATGCACATTTGTGCACCTGTATACACAATGAGAAGTCTAGATGCCGACAGAAGAGTGGTAATTAGAGGTGTGTGCTGCGGATATTCTCGGTACAGTACTGATCAGTGTCATCTGTTCAAGTGTACACGTGAGGAAAAAACTCTGCTGCTTCTGCTTCTGCTGCCGCTGTACCCCACAGTTTCCATGGTAACGTCAGAACCCATCCTGGTCTCTATGGTAACTTCTGGTTGGCACCCTCAAAGATTGAGAGAGAGACAGATGAGGTTAAGAAAGCGAGAGAAGGTGAAGACTGAAAAGAGGGATGAGAGTGAAAATGACTGGGAGGCCAAGAGTTATGAGAAGAAGTGACTAAACAGGATTCCGCACATAACTTTAGTAACTGACAAAAGTGTTGTCTGTGACTTTACAAAATCTGTCTCTCTTTCTTCTTTTCCTTTGAGAATGGTAAAGTTTCAGACTCACATGAGCTGGTGTTGGTGGGTGAGACAGAGTGGTGTAGCACGCACAGAGGGAACATTTTGAACCTACTGGTGTCAAACCTGCTGCTTGAATGAAGCTTTACTGTTTGTAATTTGCATATTTTCTTCTTATTTCTATTTTCTTCAAGTGCTCTGAGGTCAACCAATTTTCCAAAGATGTGCTTGTTGTTTTAAATAATGAAGTGGGTTCCTGCTTTTTTTGTTTCACTTTGTTTTGTGGAATGAAAACCAATCCTGCAAGTGCCCATCTATTACTCATTGTCAAGTGGGTCAGGCCACAATCTACCACAACACTCAGAGAGACAAACCATACCAAAAAGAAGGAAAGGCAGGTACTTAGTTACCACTCAAGAAAAGTTGTTTGTTCACTATAGACTAAATGTTACTTCTTTTCTATGTAAGGCTGTAAGTGTGTGATGCATTTATGCTACAGACATTCCCCCTTACATGCTACATAAAGATGAATAACTGACTGAAATCAACTATAGATCCATAAGAAAATGTGATTGTGATTGGAAGATTTAATGTTTGTTATGCTTATACTTGATTAGCATCATATTTACCAATCTACTGTCAGAAGAGTTACCTAAGCAATTTACCATCCAAACTAGTGATGGCAGCTGTATATGTAGGCTCACTAGAATAAGATTTTATAAAAATTTGGGGCCCATTTAGACCCATATTTCTAATGAAATATGCAAGACCTCTATCTGGTATATTACCATAATTATGCAGGTTTGCTACATTTAGGGACCACTAAGTAAATCGATTTTGGAGCTTGCAATCATTGGATAAGCAGAGTACAACAAGCAGAAAAACTCAAGTTAAGACATGATAAGTCATTCCATAGAGTTAAATACATAAAAAAAGTTTAAAAATCAACAAAAAAACAAATAGGAATCTAGTAAAAGTGCCGGACCAACTAGTAGTTATCTGAAAAGGTTTGAATGGATAAATCCCATTGACTATGGACACTGCTGCACACACAAGATTAGTTGTGATTTACCATTTTACATGAGTTTGATGTCTCTGCTGTAATGTTAAAGGGTCAGGCTGCACCAGCTCTTATCTGCACATGGATGTGCTGTAGACGTTTGCATAAGCCAGTTCTGAAATGAGAATAGTTGTCTTTTAAGTGCTGTCGTTGCTTCTTGCCCTCATGATTTAGTGGCTGGCACAGTGTGTTCCAGGTACACGGATGTTAAACACAATGTACTATGACTATGATGTGACGGTAGGATCTCCCAAAAGCATCTTAATGCCTAATCCTGTCCTGCAGCACACACACAAACACAGAAGGTCATCACAAATGGAAACGTTGCCCGCTATATGGGAGAATGTCGATACTATAATCTGATTGGCCTAGTTGATGGATAGGTGGTTTGGTTGACCTATCACAGTTAACTGAATTATTGCTCCCACATATTCACCTTTCGGTCATCCTGTCTGCCTTCTCTTCCCCCTCTGCCTCTTTAGTCTGTCTCTCGTCCTCAAACTCCCTCCTCCTCTCCTGCAGTCTCTCATCTTTTTTCTCTCATTTCATTCTCGTCACTAACCAAATTAGCTGTGCCCGTTATGGATTTTGCCCTTTATGGGTCTGTATGAATGGAATGAAAAGGGGCAAGGGATGTTTGTGCTTGTGTGTGTCAGGCTAAGCTGTTCCTACCAGATGCTTTTCTTTGTTTTATTCTTCTGAGCGCTGCGGCGCCTGCCTGTCACTAGCAGATACACAGTTCAAGTGTGTGTGGCGTTGCATGTTTGAATGAGACAGAGATGAGGAGCCTGAGTGTGCCAGAGGACATGCGTATGTGTGTTGCATTTGTGAAATTAATTACTTCTTCATGTAACACCATTATACAAGGTGCGGTGGATGGTCATTAGAACCAATGATGAATATGACAAACATATTTTGAGCGTATTTAGCATCTTAAGAAAATCAACTAATTGAGAATTTCTTCTATATTGATGGTTTCACACAGTTTTTAAGTGTAATTCTTATATGATGGGCACACTAATTTTTTTATTAAACATAACATTGGCCTCACCAACTCCAAACTCTGTAAATACTCAGTTACCAAGTAAATAATGCATTCCTTACAGCAGTAAGTATAGAGAAATATTAAATGAAACGTTGAAAGACATTTGTTGTATGTTATTGTGACTGAACTAAAAGATGCTCAAATGCATTCATTAATTAAACGTGCCAGTCAATGTCCATTTTAAGCTTAATTTTTTCATGATAGCCTTAATGCCATTTATCTTAATAATGCATACAGTGTGTTTTAAACATACATATACAAGCTTAAAGTCACACACTTATATTATGAATGTATTTTCCTGTTTGACTACAAAGATGAGTGATATATAACTCCAACAGAGGACATACACATTTGTGTAGCTTATACTTTCTGTGCAGTGTTTTTGTTTGAAGGCATGCTACCTAGATTAGTTCCTCTGATCGGTTTGTCAGCTCGACGTGCTTGCGTAGCTGTTTTGGTCAACGTGGACACACACAGGGATTGTGTCCCTCGAGTTGCAGGTTCAGCTAAAGCTTCCCTGGGGATGGGACTGAAGCCTAGGGAGACCTGACTGGCCTTCTGTCTCAAACCTCTGGCCCTTCATACATGTGTATCCATGGGAAAAGTGTGGGAACAAGAGGAAGATCAGGGACTGAGATAGATGAACATATTGATAGATGCAGCTGAATACAGCATATTTATTCTCTCAAGGACATTAAATACTTCAGAATATAAAGAATAACATCCACAAATCAGCTAAATGTAAACATTTTGTATGTTTTTTTTAAACTAATTATAGTTTCAAACTCACAGTAAGTAAGCAGATGAGGCATATGATTTGGTGGATAATTGTTTACAACTTTGCCATAATGTCGTACGATCTTGCTCTTTCAAAGCCATTTCAGTACATTTCCCAGGACCCTTGGTAGCAGGTCACAACTAGGACAACAATCTCTGAGGGACTCTGTTATAAAAATGCTGCCTGTGCAGAGACAGAGTTGGCTTGTTGGACAGGAAGATAGCTGGCCTGATAAATAATCAAAATGCTTTGATTGTACACATGATTACAAATAAGAAAAATACATGCTCACACAGGAATTATTGGAAGTGCACACATATTCACAGAGAAAGCAATAGCTCCATAAACACTTTTATAGCTGTGGTTTGTCCACTCATATGGACATAATGTGCAGCTGCAACAATAACCCGTTTCACAAAGCTTGTTTTCTTTCATTCCGTCCCAAAACCTTTCTGCCCTGAAAAATAAACTGACCTGCAATTTTTGTTTCTCCACAGGAGCGTGTGGAGTATCTGTTCCTCATCATTTTCACAGTGGAGGCGTTCCTGAAGGTAATAGCTTATGGCCTGCTCTTTCATCCCAACGCCTACCTGAGGAATGGCTGGAATCTGCTTGATTTCATCATTGTGGTTGTGGGGTGAGTAAACAGAAACACCCATGAAGACTGAAAGTTTAAAATGTAAAATGTTATTGGATGATGCTGTTATTCTAGACACCAGATACCTTTTTAAACACTGACACATTATAAAGCAAATTACTTATTGTGACACAGTTTTGAACTGTGTCCAATAGCCAAAAGGTAGTCACATTTCTCCTAAAATTACTGTAGGATCTCGTTCTACTCCAACTGTGGTAATATTTGGAGAAAATGCAGACCAGCTGTGTTTTCTGACAGTTTTCACACATTTCTTTATTTCGTACAAAAATCTGTTTATGCAACTAAATGATTTATCATTGGATGATTCCTAAATGTGTCTGGGCAGTCATTGCTATTATAAAGTGTCTTTAGGTCTTTTGTGATTCTGTATGAAAAGGTTGTTTTGTTTTTTAGGTAGAGCTGAGTTTTTCACAGGTTTCTCACCAAACAGTTTTCCAAACAAAGGAATTATGTCCGCAATCCCTCTGCAAACTTTAGCCCACAGAGTTTGGATTAAGCTTAAATAGAAAAGCTCCTGGTCAAGTCCTCCTGTCAACAAACAAACCCTCTCAGCCTTTAGGTGTGTGTGTGTGTCTACATGTCTTCTTTGGGCAGAGTGTTGTGTTGGCAACAGCACTACAGTCAGTGGACCTGACAGTTGTATTAATGCCATAAAAATGCTCTAATTGACCATGTGTGAGAGTGGGCATGGTTGTAAGACAGAGACAACAAGCAGTCCTCAGCCTGAAGGAAGGCTCTACCAGCCCCCACACAAACACTCTTGTTCATTGCCAGTCAACTGCTCACTCACATTAGCCATCGCTATACGAGCGCATTTGGCTTTGCCCCACAAAAAATACACAAACAAACACACATCAATGGCTTATAGCATGGTGCCAGTGCCCCAGACATAAACACAACCTTTGCCATTCCTGTTATCTACCCTCTCCTTTTCTCTCTGTGTCTGTCTCCATTTCTGTGTACTTAAAGTGTCACTTTTATTCTGATGCAGCACCATTTAATGTGCAGTGATATGTTATTGATCGCTGTTTAGAAGTGTATCTTTTTTTTTACAACTCTGCCAAAGGGGGAAGTTAGATAAATGCTTTGGCTTATACACCAGAAGGTACACCCCTGTCAACGGCAAACCTGCGGCTTCCCTATACTTCCCCAGGATCTTTAATATTTCTTATTTTTTATGTTTTTTAAGTAAAAAAAAATACACTGATTTTCACGCAAAACAATAACCTTAATAATCTGCTCAAAAAGATTCAAATAGCTTTTAAAGGTTTGTCTCTATAGTGCTTTTTCATGCGCCAGCTAGCAGTTCTCCTGTGTGTGTGTGTGTGTGTGTGTGTGTGTGTGTGTGTGCGTGTGTGTGTGTGTGTGTGTGTATGTGTGTAGATAAGAAGTGACAGAGTTCGTTCCCTCAGGAATGTTCACCATGTGGGTGAAAGACTTGCACCGGGTTCAGGGCAGGCTCCCAGACACATGCACTCTCAAACACATCTGATCATACAGGTACACATACACAGAATACGGACCAGATACACGCGCAAGAGGCTGTCAATAAAGGTTCAGCCCTAATATGTCTGTCTGTCTATTTGAATTGAAATTCAGGTATATGTAGTATCTCTCCCTGGTTTGGATTGTCCGCCGTGACCCTGATTACCTACATTTTTTTATATTTTCACCCTCACATGTTTTGTTCTCTTTTTTTATGAGCTAGTTATTTAAATAGTGCAGAACTATCCTTCTAAATCCAAGTTTTACTTCAGTCAGTCGCTTCTTGTGAATTGATTTGGCAAATATTTTGTTAATGTTGACAAATTGAAAAAATGAAGAAAATGAATTGCGATTATTGTTGAATAATCAGTTTCTGGGATATTCCCAGTTAATGAGTTAATGATAGCTCAGAGAAAAACTTTTTCACATTGTCAACACTAAAGTAACTCAGAACGTTTCTTCCCTCTTTGAAAGTGAGCAATCTGTGCCATTTTTAACTGTGGGTGTACTCAAACCCTTACGTGCTACTACACAAAGGCTCCAATCATCACCTAAATAAAATGCTGCCGGTGCAGATTTGTGGATCCTTGAAGGGCTCGTAATGCTCTGAAAGACGTGATTCCCACCCAGACAGAGTTAATCAAATTGAGAGGGAGGTAGTGAGAAATGGAGAGGCTGAGAGAGACTGAGGGGGAGAGAGGGCAATATGTTTTGAGAGGCTTTTTCAAGTGGCCATTTCATCTGTGCTAATTGATAATTCTCCATGACTAATGCGCCACTGACTGGCCTTTGAGACACGCTAGCTGGAAATTTCTAAGGGATCTGAAAGCCACAAAGAAGGAGAGCTGGATGATAAGCTCAGCTGGATGTACATACATTCTTGCTCGTCAGACACTTGTTCTAAAGAGATGTTCGTAAATAATAACACCAAAGATGATAGGTAGCAAAAGCAACATGTAAAGTCTTTTTCATTCAAATTCATAAAGTAATTGTAACATAGACAATTTTGACTAGACACATGTCGTTTACAAAATTATTGTTGATCATCTCTTCACACTGATCATGTTTTTCTTTAACTGAATTAGAAAGAAATAAGATATTCCTTAATTTAACCCAAATGAGTTTGTGTTTCATCCTTTGAATTATTCTTATCTTGTTTTCTTTACAGAAATCCAAATTTTCTTTTTCTTTCACTTTACTTTTTCTAATATTAGAATCTGCTTGAGCAATATTCCGAGATTTCAAGGGATTGTGCCTATAAGCTGGTGACCAGTAAGCTGCATAACGAAACAATTAGAACAATAATAATTAATTTCACAGAGCCAACAGCCCAGCGAGTAAAAAATGGCCCTGACTCAGCATTTGTCATTGTACATGATAATAAGCTTTGTGTGTCGAATAATTGAAAATTGGGAATAGTTTGACGAGCTGTTTTTTTACATACTTTATGCACCAGATAGAATAAACAGGAACAGGTAATGTCATGACTTTACGTAACAATAGATTGTTGCTGGATATAATCGGCTGTGAACTCACCTGCACACCAACACAACAAAACAAGTGCGTGGTGAAAACTCATTTCAGACAGTTCCACTCATGACGACCCTCCTTCTGTTAAATTCTGTTAAATTGTTAAAGCTGATGCCTTGTGTCCCCTTATCTATGAAAGAAAAACACTAAAACAGCTTAAATTTTCTACTTTTGAGTTCTCTCATCATTTCCTGTCAAAGTTCATTTACAACATGGTGGTTGTTTTAAGGATTGTGATGAAAATTATGTCAATGGCTCTGTTTAATTCAAGACGTTCAGAAAACAATGCCTTAATTACAACAAATTATGATACAGATTTTTTACATCTTTACAAATGATATTTTTTTCTCCTGTTATCTCTCAGATTTCTCTTTCATGTGAAAATGATTTTTCATCATGGCCGTGACGCATATCTTTCTGTCTGACAGGTTATTCAGTGCGATTTTGGAGCAGGCCACAAAGGGGGACGGGGCCACTCCGATTGGAGGAAAGGCAGCGGGCTTTGATGTCAAGGCTCTGAGGGCATTCAGAGTACTCAGACCCCTAAGACTGGTCTCAGGAGTGCCAAGTAAGTATAGCGATATGTTTTTTTTTTAAAAAGAAGAAAGAGAGCACAGGGGTTCAGGTGTGAATGGTTAATGGGTGTTACAGGAAAGGAATTGAACCATAAATCAGAGCTGATATTACTCCTTGATCCAAACACTATGCTCAGTGGCACAAAATGGACAGATACACACTTAATTCTCGTGTCTTGTCTTCAAATTTCTGACAGTCTGGGCAGTAGATGAGTTGTTTGTCCGTCTGTGTCCACAAAAATCAATAATTTGAACTGCCAGATGACACAAAGAGAACAGTTATTGTGAATGAACGCCGTGCACGGGTCCGTCTCTATCTGTGTGTCAGTGCCGTGTGTGAGTGCAAAACTGGATCTTTGCCAGTTGATGTACAGTAAGTATGTGCTGAGTTCAAAGACTGAATGTTCTTCAACAGCTCCTGGCTGTGTATTGAGTTTGTGTCATTTCAGCTCATGAATAGCATGTTTGCTCACTGATCCCAGAGCTGTGAATACTTGCATACTGCCTAACTGGTAGAAAGACTTGTGTATCAGCAAACTCTGTAATGAACCTTTCCCTTCAAGGTTTGCAGAATGAAAGCATGAATATTTCCAGCACTAAAATTAAATAGCAGTGACAACAAGTACATCAAGAGGTCCCTAGAATCTGAGTGTCCTCGATCACTAATGCTACCAACAGCCATTTAAGTAGGTTAGGTGGAAATAATATAACAGCAACCTTCACTTTAACACAAATTAGAGCAAATTGTTTAACTCGATAGAAGCGCTTTTGTAACCTCATTCTAATTGAACGTATTGTGGTCTGAGGTGCCTTTACCTGATTTAAAGCCTGGTGAAAACCAGATGATGACTTTTTCATTGCTTCCCGATATGCAAATCCTCAGAATTTAAAGGGTGGGAATTGTCTTTTTCATAAGTCTGAAATACTGGAGCCTCATTATAATCTATGCATGTTAATGTGTGCTGCAGGTTTACAGGTTGTGTTGAACTCCATAATAAAAGCCATGGTTCCACTCCTCCATATTGCCCTGCTGGTCCTCTTCGTCATCATCATCTATGCCATCATCGGCCTGGAACTCTTCATGGGAAAGATGCACAAGACCTGCATAGACAACCATTCACGTACGTCCATGTCTGTTCAAAGAGAGCCGGAGAGTCGGACACGCTGACATTTTGCATTGATGTACAGATGCAAACACGCATGGCCAGACGCAAACACTGGCTGCCAGAGCGCACTTCAGTGCTCAAATAGCAAGCTCCAGTAAGCTGGGGCATCAAGTCCTCAAATAAACATTGAAGACTTAGTGAATATTATATCATTTCAGTTCAAATGTCAAAGTGGAATGGATTTACCACCACTTTCCTGTTCTGGTGTTTTTAGAAAGATATTAAAGGTTTCATTGTGTTGTGTTTAGACTTACTACTATTATGTGCTGCTTATAGGTATAGATTATTAAGAATTATTAAAATAGTAGTTTCCATTAATTAATAATTTAAACAAGCTTCAGGATAAGGCATCAGGTACAAATGGACTTTAGTGTTATTATGTTGGCATTATTGGTCCAGTGGGAAACATTAGTTGTGGTCTAAGAATACTCTCCTATATGTTGCCCTACAGAGCTTACTCTGTATCTTTAGTTTAACAGTTTTCCAACCAGATTTCTTTGCAGCTGCTCTGTTGAAAGTCGGTTCAGTGTGTTAGTTTAGCGTGGCCCAGAGGTAGACTTAATATTTTAAATAAAATGCTCTTAAGACTCTTATTTTCTCTATAGCAGCATTGTTTCAAATAAAAAGACGACAGGAATGTTATTTTTTTTCAAAAACTAAACTAGTCAAGAGGACAGACATAAGGCCCCTTTTGAATATCTGCATTGAAATAGACCACTGAGATCTGCATATTTTCCTTTTCCTCACAGGCAAAAATGCAGAGGAAAAACCAGCTCCATGTGCACCCGATGGCGCTTATGGTCGACACTGTCCAAAGAATGGAACAATTTGTCAGATGGGATGGGAGGGTCCAAATGATGGTATCACCAACTTTGACAACTTCGCCTTCGCCATGTTAACGGTGTTCCAGTGTATAACCATGGAGGGCTGGACTGATGTGCTGTACTGGGTGAGCCGTACACCACAACTGCAGGACCACGCTGTGTGGAATAGATGCACAAGTCCTATTAGAAAAAACGCCGAAAAAAGCAGAAGGCAAAAAGGCAGACAGAACTCATGAAGACTTTGGCAAACCATGAGAACCACAGGAAGCCGCTTTCTAAGAACAGACAAGCGTGCTTGCCCAAAAAATATATTTTGATTGATAATTTCTTAAAAGAAAATGAGCTCTAACGTCTCTTGTGGAGCCTTTCTTAGATAGTAAAAAGTAAATTCACTCTAATAAACCTGTAGCTGGGAGTATGAAGTACAGGTTAGAACACTCAAATTGCCTCTCAGGAGGTTCTTTGATGTTTCAAATCAAACAAAATGACAAAATTCACTCTTTCTAGAAATTACAATGTGTGAATGAGACGATTCAAAATGTTCAACTTGCAGCGTGTGAATGTATGAGTGTGTGGTTATTTGTATATGTCTGTGCACATGTATACACATGGAGCAGATAGCTCACTAGCTTTACACCCCATCTTCTGCTTTTTGTCAACTTTAACCCCAGTCTCAAACAGAAATAACACTCTTTGTTCTCAATAGGACGTACATTTGCAGTGTTCAAATATAGAACATTCAACTGTCAAAAACAACAAAAATATGTCTTGCTTTGCAGTTTTTACTGTTAGATATCAGGCCTTTTTTTGACAGACCTCAAAATGATCTACTTTACACACATTTATTGTTCTTTGTTTAGAGATTTAAACTTTTATTCTGCATAGAGGCTATTAATAGAGCATTTCTGTCAAGAACAACGCTTAGATCCCGCCATTGCTCTTTTATTATCATCAATCCAATGATTTCAGTTAAGTCCTGATCACTATTGCATCTAAATGTACGTGAAGAAGATTCACCTGCAAGGAAATGTCCAGAAACAAATCATTTGTCTAAATGTATTTCTCTGTACTGGTCCATCCTCCCTCTTAATAGAAATCTTCTTCACGGCACTGTGTATCTAATTTAACTTAAACTTATTCCTTGAAGAAGAGCTAGTTAAGCTCACAGCAAATAATTAGTCTTTAAATTGTAGGTCATCAAGAGCTTGTTCTGTAAGCACATAGTTAATTACATAGTCCTACCAATCTTGCTATGCCAGGTTTATCAACTGCTCTTCTTAACATGCACACTCTTTTCTTATTTTCTTTCTTCCATCTTATTTTTTCCCTTTTAACACTTCTTCTGAGTTCTGTCTCCCTGTTTCTTGTTAACATTTTTATTCAATTTCCTCAACATGTCTCATTATTTTGACCTGTTTCCTCGGACTGTCTCACTGTATTTCCTTTCCCCACCACCAACCCCCTTTACCTGCTTGTTAATTATCTCTATCCCATTTTTCCTCTTCCTCTTCTCTCTCTCAGATGCAGGATGCTATGGGCTATGAGCTGCCATGGGTCTATTTTGTTTCTCTTGTCATCTTCGGCTCTTTTTTCGTTCTCAACCTCGTTCTGGGAGTGTTGAGCGGGTAAGAGCTAACGCTGTTGTCATGTGTACATATGTGTGTCGTGTGTGATGTGGCTGTACTTCATGTTTTAGGTGTGAAAAGTGACTGTGTATCAAGACTCCCTGAAAATGGCTGCCAAGTGCAAACTCAGTGTCAGATATTGGTCTAAAGAAGTTCAAGTAGAGTTTACTATCAAGTTGCAGCCAAGTGGCACGCAGGAAAAATTATATACCGATAAGAGCCATGTAATGAAAACGGTCTCACCTCCCCGGATCCGCAGTTAAGATTAAAGTATGTCCATTGTCCTCTCAGGAATGATGAGCTGACAATCACTGAACTGAATAAAATCTCCCAGTCTCTCTCCTTCCTCTTCCCCTCAATCAGTCCTTTGTCACAAGCCCGGAGACACACACATGCACTCACAATAACACTCACGCTCACACACCCAGAAATAGCAATGATAGACCCTGTCTATCTGTTATTTTCATGTCAGGTTGCCACATGGGGCCACATCCTGTCACAACCTGTATGTGATGGACATGAGGACACACACATGTCCCCAAGGCTTGCTTGATTCTTTTCTTTTCAGCAAGCACACACAATTGTTTCTATTTACGGTTTCGATTTTGACAGATTGCTTCATCAAACAGCAATCTGAACTAAGAGTCATCTCGACGTGTATGTGTTTTCTTTGTCTCTATAAATTCAAATGAACCCATTATTTATTGGGTAAGTGTGTATGCTAGTGTACGAGGTAAGGAGAGCAGTTTGTGGATCTTAGTTTTGGTTGTTGTTTGCTTCAATAAGTGCTGCCCCGTCAGGCCAGCTGGGTGCTTTTTCATCCGGCTCAGCCAAGTCACACTATTTCAGTACATGCACCTCCTGGTCTGTGGGGACACATGGGGGTATAAATAATTCACCCCTCAGGCCGACCGTTGAGGTGGAACGCCAAAAATCTTGCACAACAGGGAAAAAGTAAGTTAAAATTTCTTCTGAGACCAGAGTGGAGTAGGGAGGAAACGTGGCATTAAAGAAATGGAAATTACGGGATAAAAGACTGTACTAAGTTTGGAATTGCATTTATGTATTTTTACCCATAAAAACATTAAGTTTCTACGTCTCCTTAAGAATAGAAACAGTTTTCATTGTTTAAAGTAATGATGATAATAACAAGGACAATAATACTTATGATGAAATTATCATTTACATAAAGGCTTATCTATGGCTAAAACTTTCAAATCAAATTAACTATGACATTGACACTAATTTGATTAAATATGAACTAAGCCGTTCGTGTTTTTTGTGCCTAAATTAAATTACTTTGAAAGCATAAAGTCATAGTGAGATAACATTTTGTCATGAGGGCTATAATTATATCCAGTCCTTGGGAGTCTTGCTGCATAGTCTGTTCATGTGTCTCGCAATAATGCTTTTTTCCCCCCACAGTGCTTAATCCTGAAAAAAAGATGATTCGAATCCCAATAAAGGGGATCATGCTTTTGAACTTAGAACTCTTCTGACAGAGAAACATTGGCTCATCTTTGTGAGCCCAGCAATAATTCCCCAGAAGGGTTGTTTTTTATGTTACGTGGGTCTTTCATATTCTTATCACATTTTGAAAAGGCCAGCTCATGAGATATCATCTAAATCAACCAATCCATCCTTTTCTTGTTTTTCTATTCCATTTTGAATGCTTCTGTGTCACATACTATGAAGTGACTACATAAAGACATGTTCAGAGGATCTAATGCCTTCCATCACCCCCTTTCTCCCATTTCTTCTTCATTTACTATTTACTCCATCCTCACTTTTACCCCTTCTACTTGCTGCACCTTTTTCTCTATCATCTTTACCATCTTTTCTTCTTTATTTTTCCTCCCATGGTTCCTCTCTTCTATTCCTCCATCTCATAGGTCAATGATGCAGTAGGTTACAGGTGGCCCTGGGTGTATTTTGTCACCTTAATCATCATCGGATCCTTCTTTGTGCTTAACTTGGTTCTGGGGGTTTTGAGCGGGTAAGGGCAGGGTCAAAAGTCAATTCAAACTACTTTTTCTTCCCTTCCTTGTTGCCGTTGTTCTTCAAGGATTGGCTACTTTTTTCAAGGCTTTTCTTTTTTCTTTTTCTCTTTCTTGCTTGTGCTTGTAAAACAAATACAAAGCATGTAAAACATATGTTCCTATGCCGAACCATTTGGTGATGTCTCACAGGTTGGAGTTTTTGCATATGAGAATATTCAAATATCTGTTTATAGACTAGAGAAAAGGTCTCTTACTCATTCTGAACACGTGAAGACATGAGAATTATTCGTCTTACAAGGTCCTACTATTTGTTGTTATGGCTCCATTCCATGCGACAAAGTGCTTTTCAGGGCAGAGGTTTAGGTCAGAGAAACATCTTACTGACTGACCTGAATGGGACTTGATACTCTTGAAGATGTAGCGACATCATCGTAGAAGAAAGTAATAGAGGTCTATCTGGACCAAACAGCTTGGGGGGTTTGGCTGACTGACTCTTTGTCTGACTTCTGACTAATGGTGCTGTCAGCACACTACACAACCTGACCTTTAGCCAACTGGTTCCTCCACGGTGTGTGTGCGGGTATCAGATAGGCATAATAACTAATGGCTAAACAGGAACAGAGAGAGCCACGGATGCGGGGACACAAACGCAGGGCGTGACTGTTTGTCAGAGTTTGATGTAAAATGTAAATAGAGAGAATAGAGAGGGGCTGTCTTGCAGAAATACAAGAGGCAGCATAAGGTGATTTAGAGCATAAAGGTGAGGCAGTGAAAATGAAAAAATGAGCTTCAGAGTTTAGCACCTACAGCTGCTCTCACACACACACACACACACACACACACACACACGAGCATCAAGCAGGCACGCTGAAGTACACAGCCACAGATCAATAGGACGGGGCCTCCTGCTAATGTTCTGACAAGCGAGACAATAGCAGTTTGTCCTAATGCTCATTGATCTATCTTGGTGTTTGAGTGTCCAGCCTGTTGCTCCATCTGGATTTCCATCATTTTTCCAAATTTCACACATGACACACAGACTTGAATTAAATTACCGTACAGCTGTTACAGCTGTTGCAGCTCTTGTTTGGTACTTTATTAAAATCTCACAGATTGTGCAACATCCAATTAAGAATGTCAAGACCTAAACTGAACTTGACTATGAAACTGTTTAGATTTTAAGTGATTTAAAGAAAAATGGCCAAATCCAAGATAACAAAGAGATGGAGAGAAACTAAGATTATAACCTGCACACACCTTTAGATGCTGGCAAGCGTTTGAGCTTCCACTGCTGTAGGACAGCAACACAACAGATGAGCTCATTTAAAGGTTTCAGGAACAAAAATAATGAACACTATTATAATACACGCCATGTGTAGTTTTCCCATCATCATTTTCAACCCATGATCATGGATACTGAGCTGACCTGAGATATAGCTGATGTTTATCAGAGGAGTATTAAGGAAAACATGAATAAAATGGATTGTTGTCGCTTTTGTTTTATTGCTTGAACTAACTACTTTGCCCTACAGCCGTGTGTGAGACAGACAACCCGTAAGAGTCTGGATTCACTGGTGCCCTCGTCTGTTTCCCCTGTGACTGACAAGAGGCCACCAGCCCAAAGTGAAAACGCAGCCAGTCTTTAATGTTGTCAATCACTGCCATTTCTGCAGTTGTTGTGGTTACCAGTATGTGAATGCGTGATGGCCCTCTCTGCAGGGAGTGACTTTGAAAGCAGAGCTGAAGCAGAAATGGAGGGGACATTTTGTTTTAGTTCAAAGCATTATAGCAAAGTCTTCCGTCTCATCAGTGTTCTGCTTAGCATTTTGGGAAACCAAAAGCTCCTGGTTTTCATTTCCATTTGCCGACTAACATCTCTTCTCCTTGGCAAAACTTTTTTCTTCTTACTTTTTTCTTTTGCATCAGCAGGTTTTCCCTGTTTCTTGAGTGAAAATGTAATTCTCACAATAATGTGACATTTGACATGATCATCTGTATGGATTTTCAGATTTTTTTTTTTTTTTTCCTGTCTATTCTCTCTTTATGTCCAACCCACTACCACCATCCTTGTTCTCAACCTCCAGAGAGTTTTCCAAGGAGAGAGAGAAGGCAAAGGCACGTGGTGACTTCCAGAAACTCAGAGAAAAACAGCAGCTGGAGGAGGACCTGAAGGTAGCTTGTTATGTTGTGTGTGTCCGTGCATGTACGTGCACGTGTTTGTTGTTCTAAAGCTTTCTTCCATAGGAGGATCCAACTGTCTTTGCCAACATGAAGTTTATAATATGTTGTAATCAAGCTTTCAAAAGCGACATTAAGATTTCAAGTTCCAGTCCTCAGTTTCTATATGTGGTACTCATGTACCACATATAGAAACAGGCATTGAAACAGGCATTGAGTTATTTTGGATAAAAATTCAAATTATTTAGACAGTGAAAAAGGATAAGCAAAGTCTTTTTTTGCTGACCGCAGTGTTTTACAGAAACATTTTAAGCAACAATGTACTTTGGTTGTTCTTTTGTTGATGAGAAGTCTGACATATTTCTAACCAATCAATGTGTGTTGTCTGTGTTCATGTATCTGCTGATATAGGGCTATTTAGACTGGATCACTCAGGCTGAAGATATTGACCCAGAGAACGAAGAGGAGGGCCTAGACGATGACAAACCTAGAAACCGTGAGTACTACACGACATTGGGTGAATGAAACCATGCCTGTTGTGAACTAGATTCCTACTGCATATGTGTAGGGAACATTTTTGTTGTTGTTGTTGCTGGTGATATTATAATTAGTAATGAAATTCTGTCCTGTTCATGATTATCAGTTTTTATTTTATTTTGAATGGTTACATGGGATGATATATCACTCTAAATACCCACATTTGTGAGGATATATGTGTGTATATAGGCTTCAGTGTGTGCCACATCGGGAGACTGATCTCTCTGCATTCTTTCTCATGGGATAGAAGCACTGTCTGTAAATGAGCAACCTACTCTCTGGCAGAATGACTGACAGACAGAGGAGATATTAATACTATCTGCACACTTTAGTTGAGCATCCTCCCGAGGTTTAAAAGCTGTTTGGATATTAGTGGAATGTGTCAGACTACAGCTAATAGCCTCAAGGTACACACACTACACACCATCCTACACCTATGCAAACCTGCACATACACACTGTAGGTGTACACCCTAAGGAATTTGTGTATTTGTGTTTTGACAGAAAGGTACAAACACAAATTAACACCCAGTCCTCTCCACAACACCTCTAGTGGGAGGCAGCTGTATAAGGCAGCTGTCTCCCCAGGACTGCGGTGTATTTCCTGGGGACGAGTAGACCCTCTCTACATGGTAGTGTGATATCTAAATGCTAAATACAGCTTCAGAGAAGGATGAACGGTAGGAAAACTAAATAGTATGCATGTCCTACAGCAATGAGAGAACATGTGTTATGCATATATCCTGATCATCCGTCTGCTCATCTCTTTAAAAGCAGTAATACTGACCCCAAACAGAAAAATATATAAGGCCGCTTTTTCACAGATTCACTTTGGAATAATGTGATCAATAGAGCAAGTATACATGAACATAAAGTACAAATCGAATCCATAACCAAACAGCTTGTCCTCAATAATTAGGAATAGTCACTTCACAAGATTGACACATTTTTCCATCCCATTTTACATATTCATCTTAAATTAAATAATCTGTGATTCACCTCCAAACCGCACTAGTTTATAAGTGGAAAACAAAAAATACCAAAGCACACTTTCTCCTCTAACAATCCAACAATTGTGTAAACATACATTACATTTGAACTATGTGGATCAATCAAGTGTGACCATATTATTTACTGCATCACTGGCATTACCAATGTCATTAGGATGCAGATTATGTAACAAAAATATGAATGCATGTGATCCAAAGATCTCTCTGAGATGGATAACTCATTTTCCTTTTTGTGAAGGTGAAATCTTGTCACTCATTCTTTCCTTGTTCTGCCTCTCTCCTGTGTTAGTGGATGAGTGTGGTTTGTCCCGGCTGCCTGGGACATTTTGCACAGGCTCTTGCATGCAAAGAACACCTGTCCTAAGATGTTATGGGAGACTCTGAGAATAGAATAGAAATAGCTGAGATATGGAGGACGATATAGATGATGTGAAGAATCAGCTCTGTGTAGAGGACCCCTGCTGGGCCTCCTTGTGTCACCATCATCTGAACCAATGAGTTAGCGGCTGAGCAGACAGAAAAGGACAACGTCCCTCTGTCATCCAGCATGCACAATTTACGCTTTTACCAGAAGACGTAGTTTGCCAGTGCAGAAAGGATGTTTATTGTACAGTAAGGGAAACACTCATGGAAGTGTGTGCTTTGTATTTGTAAGGGATGTCAAACAGAGATGTTCTCTCTTTGTCCATGTTTTTCATTGGGTCTTTATTATCTTCATTCTGCAATGCCATTTGAAGGTGAGAAAGAAGATAAGAAATAAGAAGCAATTGTGTGTGATGTGTTAGTTTTGGTTTTCGATTTCTCTGTAAACCCTCTCAATCACTCACTTGCTATGTTGAGTCAGAATTAGCTCTAAAGACATATTCAGTGCCATTTCTATGTGATTAATCATCCATAAAAGGATGTAATGGGCAGAAATGCAAGAGAGACAGATGTTCATCCTGTACTCCTGACATGTCCAGTCTCATGTTTCATCTTTGAGGAGGAAACAAACAGTCCTTCAAGCAAACCTTGTGAGTTGCATTTTTTAACACAACTTCCTGTCACTGTTGTTCACTCAGTATCTTTGTTACATAAAAAGAATAAATGATTCAGTGATTTGCGTGTGTGATTTGTGTGTGTGTGTGTGCTCTGTGTGTGCGTGTATGTGTGTGTGTGTGTGTTCCTGACCCTTCCGCACTCTATTTTTAAGATCTTTATGCTCTGTCAGAGGCAGCATCACACACATTGTACTACATGACAGTGGGCTGTGCGTGTGGATCAAATCAAACTCTCTGATTGTTGAAATATGTTACTGACTCAAAATGTTGCTTTCTGGCTGTTTCACCGTTGCATTCATTAAAACACTCTTATCATATACAAAAGTAACATGGTTCTCAACACTTGATTTACCTCATTAACCTTGTACCTTGAAACTTAAAAACATTTTGTTCCTTGAAAACTACCTTGAAACATTTAAACAACAGTAATGATTTAAGGCTTATCGGAAATCTTTTTGTCCTGTGAATGCTGACTGTGTTGCACAGTTGAACAAAAGTTTTTAATCAGGTTTCAAAGGTTTAGGTTTCTACATCAGAACATCAGGTAGCCATCAGAAGACTAAATGGTGCAAGGCAAAAGCAGACGGTAATGTTGTCATGGCATTAAGGCCGGTCATACATTTTAAATAACAGTCATAGTTCCTGTAATGAAATGAGGTGTGACTGCATAGAGCTATTTTTTGCCAGAAATATTATGTTTCTTTTCTGCAGGTTGTTGAGAATGCTGTGAATTTGATCATCTGAGTGACCATTTCTCTGTTGTAACTACTGTTGTTTTGTGGTCTGAGTTCCCTCCCACAGAAAGTGTGTGTGTTTGTTTGTCTTGTTGAGCAGCCCTCTCTGTCCCCAGGTAAAAGTCATCGCTTTCTGTCTCTGCGCGGAGCCGTGAAGAAAAATGCGGCTTTTCTTCGTAAGGCGTGTGCGTCTGTCTGCATGGTCCAGCACTATTTAAACATTTTCTGGATTCTAGAATTGCAAGCAGATTGCAACCTCTCTTCTCCTTTCTATGCCTATTTTTTATCCTTTCTTCCTATGCTCTCTATCCACTCCCCCTCCACTGGAGTGGGTATCTTTTTCTGCACCTTCTTGAGCTTCAATCCCTTCGCCGGTCAACGGCCTCTCAACACTGTAAAATTGTTTATTCTCTTTAGCTTCTGATAATATTCTCTCACAATGAGACATGACATTTTCCCCTGAATTATCGCCCCTGCTGGCCAAGTTATGTTGCTTAATCGCAATAAGACATTGATAATACCTTCTGGCCTTTAACCACCTTTGTTTTAAAAGTGTGACATTTTCAATGAATGCAACAAGAGGACAAGGAGAGGAAACAACTTTACCTTGTTGAGATGAAAACATTTTTTAGGAAAGGAAACAATTTGCAACTGCCTGATTTGTCTGAAAAAATAACAAGAAGGTAATGTCATCACAGGAAGCCTGAAAGGCTCTTCCCTGCTCACAACCAGAAAAGATGCTACTGTGTTGGTGATGACACGGTCTTCTTCTTGTTGCTTCAGATTCCTTTCCCCAGAAAACCCCTGCATCTTTGCAAGCCCTACTGATGAAATTTCTTGGAGAAATAAGCCTAAAACTGTCACTTTAGCCTTTTAACAGCGTTCCTGGGGTAATTCCAATATTGTAGAGTATAAGGTAGAAATTTCTGTTTGGAAAGCATTTACTAGATTTTCTTTGTAATTTCTTTATTGCTAAATAACCAGGGTCCTTTTTAATAAGAGTTACATCCTCCTAAAGATAAACTAATTAAATTGTGTAATGAAAACCATTCTCTTAGGGTTAGGTTTGAGTTTTTGAATAAAGTTATCTTACATGTTAATTTATTTGTTGTTGGATGAAGAACAAGCTCAAAACTTTGGACAATGTCAATTAAAATTATTTGTAAATGTACACAAACATAATGATCTACAGATCTTTCTCTAAAGTCTATTTGAATGCAGTCATGATAGTCGCGTCATGATTATGAACAGCCTCTGTTTCTAAGCAAAGCATATAAGAAATACCCAAAATATGTACCATTGAACCGATTTTTGGATCATCAAAGTTTGATTAGAAAAAAAATTAAATGAATAAAACTTTGAAAAGGTGCACAGTGCGGTGACAAGTCATAATTCTGACAATTAAACAACTAAGTGTAGGTTTTGATTCAAAAGGAAGCAAAACTTGCAGAAGGTCAACAGTAAAGACAAGAAAACTGATAGAAACCATGCGAACTACTAATGTTGTTCATCTAAAATCCCCAAATCCTTTGTTAGAAAGTTTATTAAACCTTTCAAAGTAAGAAAAACCATTTACACACCTCCTACAAGCTGTGCTAAGATGATGCTCAGCAACAGAAGTCTATGTGGGTTGGTGAGAATAATGGGAAAAAAACCTGGCCAGGAACAAATTAGTGTCAGCCCATGCCACAGAAGTGCAATGCAGAGGTTTGCTGTGGCTATCACACATAAACCCTTCTTTTAAGCGACATTCAATGTCCTAGTAAATGCAAAAAATAAGTGCTGTTTTCAAGTCCACTGCAGGATTTTATACAGATATTACAGATAGCCCACAACTAAGCACCTGGCTTTTTTTGTCAGTAACTTTCTAAATGCAGCTTCTTTGTCTACAAAATTGGTTCATTTGGACTTATTTCTATGCTCTAGATACAGAAGTGTTAGTAAACCAAGAAGATTTGTGCATAAAAGCAGGGGCTGCTCATCTTCAGAGGCTCTACTATTTTTAAATATTTTAGTTTCCTGAAACTTACCAAGATTAAATCTCTCCTACAACTGAATTTTTTTTTACCGTTGTCTCCATCATGTCATTTTTATCCCTCCTAGTCATTTCTCTTCTTCCTACGTTCTGCATTTCTTTTCCTTCTTCATCTCATTCCTTGACTGTGAGTCTCAGGTCTTTAGGGTTTACTCTAACAATAGGAATTAAACTAGTTCAGAGCTCCATTGAGGGGAAGGCACCAGGCTCCTTTTATACTTTATTTGAAAGGCTTTAGCCTCAGGAGAAGCTGGAGGGCCGAGAGTGCTTTCATCCAAGTAACATAGCAGCAGGTGGCACGTGTGGAGGTGAGGAAACATACTGCGTGTTCAGAGACTGTCCTTATCTTTACAACACGAAAGACATTCAGCACCGATTCATTTGTCAAAGCACACTAGTCCAATAAACCATTCCCTGGCTGTAGTTTCCTTTGAGATTTCATGGTGGCCAAAGATTTGAAATTCAGAGTGTAGTATAAAACGCTATGGAGATTTCTAGGCTTATCAGCAAATCCTAATGAAACTGAAATATATGCATGGAGGAATGAAAGTGTTAGCAGAAAAGACTTGTGCATAAAAGGCACTCATTGTGATCAAATAGAGCACAGCTGCATGATTCAGCTTTTCTAATTTCATGTCTTGGGGATTGTGAGTGCAATGTAAATGCAGAATAGAGTGATATTTATATGCCATGTCTGGTTCTGGTACCCAGATGGCTTTACAACAAGTGACTGAGGTGACAGTAAGAGGAATGCAGCTCATTCCCGCCAGCAAGTAAAGACTGACAGAGACAATAAAAAGCAATGGATCATTTTACATCAGTTGCCCAGCCCGCTTTCCCCACATTTTCTCTTCCTTCCCTCCCTCTATCTCTCTTCATCAGTGCTTCCTTCAGTGCTTAAATTATTTTCTCCATCAATCCCACTTCACTTTAGTCATTTCCCCCCTCTTAAACACTTCCATTCTTACCAACCAATTCTTATTACAATTTCATCCTCTGTCCTCTCAGTTTTCATCCCTTTTTCTCCCTTTTATTTCTCCATGTTATCATTCGCACATCTTCAGGTGACACAATGGCACTCTGTGGATTTCAAATATGGCAAAAATTGAAGCGAGAAAGCTCTCTGTTCCAGATCTGCAAAAAACAGCCTGTGCCTGCAATGAAGATCCAACACCCACCATAATATTTGTAGTCCAAACCTTAATCATGTTGTTATGACACTCGGTTAAAAAAGCTCTACAGGCTGTAACATTACAATCTAGTTTTGTTAAACGGGTCTTAAAAAATCCATCAGTTAAAGCACTTCCAAGTAGGTGTTAAATAGGTTGTGAATGGGAACAGATCAGTCCTTCAATCTTATTATTTTAAGCAGTAAAAGCAATTTTAGGCACGTGGGTTTGTCCATTTAAGACTATATGTGTCAATAAAAATTTGTGGATGGATCAGTGGTGACTGTTTAGCCCCTATAGTATATATAAAACGTTTTTATGTGTGGAGGCAATCTGTATTGTTTAATTACATTTCAGGCAGAAGTTAGGTTTTCAATTGTGTTTGACCCTGTATTGAGCCCAGGACCCCAGCTTACCTAAAGAAGACTTAATACTAAAGAAGACTTAATAATAATAATAGTTATTGGGTTATTTTTGATCGCACACTTTGGATCTACAGTCTCCAGGTAAAGAGAAATTGCGTGAAGCATTGTCTTTTTTCACTGATTAATCTTCCTCCTTTTTTTTTTTTATCTTTGTCTCTCCACACCTGTTTCTCAGTGAGTATGCCAGCCAGTGAAAATGAATCTGTCAACACAGACAACGCCCCTGGTGGGGATGTGGAAGGGGAGACCTGCTGTACCCGGCTAGCGTAAGTACCTCACAAACATATCTGCTCCTCCACTAACCTTCTCTCATTCTCAGGATGAGCTCTGCAGCATGCGTTGTTTTTCTTATATTAGCACAAGTGGCTCAGTTTTTCTGTATTCTTCACTGACTTACTAAAATAGCTAACGTACCATCATACTGAGTGACGTTTTTAGGCATTTTTTGGACTAAAGGTTGCTGGAGCAGACCAACAGTGAGTTCTTCGAGGAAGGTACACTTTGATTGACTTCTCCTGACCGCTGTTGTTCCCATACTCTCGTGAGGATGTGGTGATGGACTGTTTTCCCAAATGTGGTGATCAGCTTACACAATGTGCCCTCACTCTAACACACCCGACTCAAGTATCTGGTCTGTTATTTAAGCTCTAAATAAGATTCCTCCAGGAAAACATGCAGGACAGTGTGCCTTCAGGAAAGGGTCTGGGAAACACTATTGAAATGTTATTCATCATTTGTAATTAATGTGTAATCTTTTATCTAAAAGATGTATTTTGGATGTATTAGGAAAAATGGGTATATCGATATCTTGCACATATCTGAACTACAACAATATAGAGTTACTTCCATCTTTCTTCCATTTTCATTTCTCTTCCTGTAAATCAGCTTTTTTTTCTTTCTCTCCCCATCATGTGTTGGTAAAATGCTTTCTTCCTTCCCTGTGGGAGCACACAAACAGCTGACTCACTCACTCCTGCTTTCATTTTTTACATTATTCAAACAAGTGAGTTACTTTCTCAAAGGACTTGTGACCCCAACAAGCATCGCACAGCAAACACGCCCACATACAAAAACGTTCTCTCTGAATGTAGCAGAACAGTTACTTGAAACATTGTTGACTGGAGAGACGGTAAAGTCATTTAAGAGTTTGAACTGTGAGAAGCACAACATAGAAAATGCACATTTGTGTTTTTGCCAGTTGGGGAGCATTTCAGTAATAATCTGACTGACACCTTTTTGCATGTATCCAACTCCTTATGCCTCATTAACTGCCACTCAGACTTTTTGCAGGAGCTAGAAGAGGTGAGCACATCACATATGCGCTTAGCCTCAAAGCTCACAGTTAGTCTGAAAAGTGATTATTATTAGTGGTCTTTCTTTGCTTATCATCTTCCCATCTAGACGACCTTTTAGTACAATGCTAACTTACAAGATGCGCTGGCAGGCAATGGACCATAATTGGTTCCAAAATATATTCTAAAGACTAGAAGTGATGTCATACCAGTTAAAACCACTAATTTGCAGAAGGCAGTTGAGACTTCTTTAAAACCTATTTTTACAACATATTTCTGATTATAAATGTTTGTTGGTTGACTAGAACACCGTGCCACTATTCTATATTTTATATCACATTTTAATATAGTTGATTGTTTTCATTTTCATCTATTCCCTGACATTACTTTGCTGATCTGACTAAACTGACTTGACACTGTCATGACAGTGATATACCGCTGCTTCATCACCTGCTAATTGTTTTGTAAAAGAATACTCAAGCACTGTCACGCTGTGTGCCATCCTTCTGTGTTTAGTTTGGAAATGTAGCATACCCTACACTATGGGAACGGGTTTACACAGAAGGCAATGACAGAAAGTAGAAGTGGTGTGCAAAGAGTTTTGGAGATGGTGTATTTGGCTGCTGAGTGTGTTAACTGTTTGCTGAAGTAAATTGTTTAGAACAAAATTTCTGTTACTTCTTGGTCCTAAACTGTAACATATTTTTACCAACCATCTTGTTTTGGCAGAATCTGTCCTGTTTACGCTGATTTTCCTTTTGTCTGAAACACTTTAAAGATGTCCAGAAACTAATTAACAGCTAAACTTTCCAGGATAGACAGTTCTTTATTATTTACATCACAGTGGAGACTTCAGCACCTGCTGATGTCTTAAGTGAGATGGACACATGAGGAGAAGAGAAGCATGTAGTGTCAGGTCCAATACTGAGCGAGGCTTTTTTTTTTTGTTCAGGCCATCAGTGAGACATTCAGTGAGCCAGTCAATCAGTTTGTATATCTGCTATTTCCTATGAAAAAACCAGAACACACATACCAAAGAGAAAAAAGAAAAAATATAGATGGTATGGGTCTTCAAATCTTTTGAATGTGTTAAACTACAATGATGTTTCTCCTAATTTGCATTCAGTCAAGTACATTTCTGTCAATTCAACTTCTTAATGTCCCCACAAGTTTCTCTTTATTGAATTTAACTTAACATTAAAAATCAAACCAGATTTTATTTCCCTCCAAGGATTCTTCCGTTATCCTTTTATCTTTTTTTCCTCCCTCCTTTTCTTTTCTGTTCTTCTCCTCCTTCTCCTCCTCTTCCACCTCCTTCTTTTCTCTGAAAAGGTCTTCCATAATCTCTTGTCCTCAGTTCTCTGTGTTGTAATTTTTGCTGTTACAGTGGTTAACAATCAAAAGATATTTTTTCATTGATATATTGTGTTTTTCACACCAGTATTAATTGGAGAGACCCAAACTAGGCCTGTTTTCTTTTGACTGCCTGCCACTGTATTTTGTGTATGAAGGGGTGATTTGTTAATAAGAATAAAAACAATAATTATGTTTTTTATTATTATTTTGTACCCAAATCCATATGTACAAACATGTTCTTTGATCACCTGCAATTTCGTATTCAAATGCATTTGGATTTTTTTACCTAAAGATTTTTCACCTATGAAAACAACTGCCTGATCGCAGGTTGATAAAGACACATATTCATTCATGCATATGTGATAATGAGGGGAGTTAATTCCCTTTATCACATTCAAATCGCTCCTGTCATGTGTTCCTGTCTGTGTGTGTGTTATGTGTTTATGTATAATCCATTCTGTTCTCTGTGTTCCAGAATTAGGATCTCCAAATCCAAGTTCAGGTTAGTAAATGTTTACCATTGTCTCCCAATTCACCAGCTCTGATGTGTCCAATCGAATCCTACATCTATGTGGTTGCTGTGTATGTGTTCGTGTACAAGTGAATTCAGATTGATGCAGTCATGCTTTTTAAAGAGGGAGGTAACATTGTGAAAAACTTCAACCTTTAAAGATAACAAATTAACCTAAGCAATAACCTTCATGCTTTAGCAGTCTGATGAAGATGTAACATGCCACTTATAATGGAGTATTCAGTGATTCCCTCAGGAGTTAAGCTGAGCCAGTTCCGGGGTGTAGCCATACAAGCTATGAAAAAAACTGCATGTTTTTTTTTTTTTAATGGGTAAGATGGCATAAAATGTTTTCACAAATACAATACAATACAATAACAGACACCAAATAATAAAACATTTTTGGGGTGCCCATCTGCATTTGTGTTGTGAGTTGTACCTTGTGTAACACTGAGTGCAAGCAACATGGCCGAAGCTGATGTGATCCAGAACTGATTGTAATCTGGTCGCACATAACTGAAACAGAAGGGAGTGAATTTTTTAGTGGCAGATGAAGTGGACGAGGAGGCTCCTTTTATGAAGTTAAATATGAAGTGCAAATGGTTTTAGAGTGATGTATTGTCAGGGTAACCCACTGTTCTGTTCTTCAGCTATTGATTTTGATTGATTTTGATTTTCTAAATTCCTTTGTTTCTCTTGAGTTTTGCTTGTTTTTGTTCTGTTTTTAAACTGTATTTATAGCTGGGATGTTTAACAATCGCATGTTTGCCCATGAAACCTTTTACAAAGAGTCAATTCCCTGAAACAGTAAAGCGTGTAAAGCCTTTAAATCACAAGACTGTGGAACTTAAAAGTGAGGCTAAGGCCTCACTAAATCCAAAATGACTAAAGATCACATCATTGTCTTCAGCTGTTTTTTCGTACTTACTCAGAACAGGGCAATTATGGAATTACAGTTATGAAAGCATTGATAAATGGATGTGAATTAATCACCTAAATACAACACAATGAATTCTTACTCAATTTGCCTCATGTTCACCTCTTTATGGTACTGAACGTCTTTTAGGATGTCTCACTCTGTTCCACAGCCCTGCTCTAAATTAACAACAAGGACTAAAGATGTTATCTCAGTTCTGTCAACTCACTGACTCTTTCCTGTTTCTATTTTTCATATTCATATTGTTCCACACCCTCCACCCCGAATGTATTTTATTTTTCCTCTTATTTTCTCTCGAACCTCTCCCGACTTTCTCCCATCACCGCTGAATGTCTCATCTGTTAATTTCAACGTGTCATCCTCTGTTCTCAGCCGCTACTCTCGGAGGTGGAACAGGCTATTTCGAAGGAAGTGTCGGGCAGGAGTTAAATCCCAGGTGTTCTATTGGCTGGTTATCTTCCTGGTTTTCCTCAACACCCTGACCATTGCGTCTGAACATCACCGGCAGCCTCAGTGGCTTACCGATGTCCAAGGTATCTCTCCTAAACAAGCGCACACCTACAGACAGTGACTTACATCCGATGGGAGCTCGGTTACTCACTGTAAAATATTCTGGTCGTTATCTCTCTTTATCGTTTCTTTATCTTATATCATTCCTTCTCCACAGATATAGCCAACAAAGTTTTACTGGCTCTCTTCACTGGTGAGATGCTGCTGAAGATGTACAGTCTTGGCCTACAGGTGAGGGCCTTTTTTTAGACTAACAACGTCATCCCCAAAGATTAATTAGCTAAAAACTATGATGCTCGGTATGCCCTGGGACGATTTAAGGGAACAGGGCAAACGGCAGGCATGAAGTGGCATTCTTTAAAACCTATGTACATGAGGTGAACACAATAAGAAAGACATGTCTGTCAGAAAGACGTCCCTTTAAAGGCTCTTTGTTCTCCACAGGCATACTTTGTGTCACTCTTCAATCGGTTTGACAGCTTCGTTGTGTGTGGAGGAATTCTTGAAACCATTCTGGTGGAGACTAAAATCATGTCTCCTCTGGGGATCTCTGTGTTACGTTGTGTGCGCCTGCTCAGAATCTTCAAAATAACCAGGTACTTATTGATTTGACATGATTTTCAGCGTCGACATTTGATAGGAAACTATCATATTTAACACAAGTGTTTCTGATTGTGATTGTATTGTAGCAGGTTCACACATGTTGGACTTTTCTTTGCCATAGATATTGGAACTCTCTGTCCAACCTGGTGGCCTCTTTGCTCAACTCTGTTCGTTCCATCGCATCCCTGCTGCTCCTGCTCTTCCTCTTCATCATTATCTTCTCCTTGCTGGGCATGCAGCTCTTTGGGGGGAAATTCAACTTTGATGAAACCAGACGCAGCACTTTTGACAACTTTCCCCAGTCTCTGCTCACCGTGTTCCAGGTGAAGAGAGTGTAGCAACATCTGGTCTTGTTTGTGTCCATTTTGTCTTCTTATCTCAGCTTGTGTCCGACAATCTTGACATTTGTGTCCTTGCTCTGTTCATGAGACTTATGCTGTTGCATGAAGGTTGGACCGCCTACCCACACAACCATTTATGTTTACTTTATGTAGATGGAATTATACTTTTTCTTTTTCTCTTTTCCAACAGATTCTAACAGGCGAGGATTGGAATTCCGTGATGTATGATGGTATCATGGCATATGGTGGTCCATCTTTTCCAGGCATGCTGGTGTGCATATATTTCATCATCCTCTTCATCTGCGGAAACTGTATCCTTCCATAGCAGAAGACTATGTGACATAGTTACAACAGATAGTGTAATTGTAGTTCGGTGAGCCTGTTATTTCCTTAGCTCCATCCCTCTGAACAGATATCCTACTAAATGTCTTCTTGGCCATCGCTGTGGACAATCTGGCAGATGCAGAGAGTCTAACATCTGCCCAAAAAGAAGAAGAGGAGGCAAAGGAGAGGAAAAAACTTGCCAGGTAAAGTAGAAAAAAGAAACCCGGAAGGCAAACAATATGATTAAAAATACAACCGTGGAGAAAAAATTTTAGTCTTGCAAATCCAATATAGAGTCCGCTACTTGCTAAGTCAATCCAAAAGCAAGGTATATCTTAACTTTCTACTGTTGTAGCAATCAGTACAGGTAATTTATGACATCAGGCAAACCCCTAAAAGAGCTTAGCAATAATGAGAATGTTCTTTAGGTTTTGACATTTTGCCACTTTTCTGTTTTGCTTTTTCTCTAAAATGAATTCAAGGGTATGTTTAGAATATATAAAAGTGATTTGTCTGGCTCAATTTTCTGAGATTTTTGTGCAGCTGGGGAATATAATGTTCCCATCAGTGGGGACGAATCATTATCTGTCCCTGGATTCGACGACACAGCATAGTGGAAAACATTCATTTCCCTTCTCACTATCCTTTGGGTTTGATCAAATCAGTACAGCTTCCCCTTGTTGCTAAAATCTATCCCTTCATGTCGCATATTTTTAAGTACTCTGATTTGAATTTATGTGTAATTCATTGTGGATCAGTGGTTTCAGAGGGGGGTAGTAAAAGCTTGAAACTGGCTCTGTCATCAGACTTGCCAGTCCAGAAAAGCGTCATGAGAACGAGAAGCCGCCCATCGAGGAAAAGAAAAGTGACAAGATTGAGCTGAAGTCAATTACTTCTGATGGAGAGACCAACACTGCTACCAAGGTACTTATGGAAATCAAAGAGAAGCCCATGAGTTGGAGACCTCAGTATGTTTGTGTCATGAGAGGAGGGAGCTGATAAAGAAATGAAAATATTTTTGCAGATCAACATGGATGACTGCTGTGGGGATGAGAATGAAGAGAAGAACCCATATCCTGCAAATGATTACATAGGTAACACAGAGCACAGCCTCATGGCTATGGCAGGGCTATTCAGATTGAAATGTGAACTTGTCACTAGTTTAGAACTAACACATGTCGGCATATCTAACGAGGAGCACTGTTCCAGGTGTTACAATTACTCTTTCTCCTCCCATGTTCTTTATCTTCTTATTACCATGCACTTCTTCGTCCTCCCCATTAGGTAATGGTGATGAAGATGACGAAGAGCCAGAGATGCCAGTGGGCCCGAGGCCGCGGCCTCTGTCCGACATTCAGCTAAAGGAGAAGGCCGTTCCCATGCCCGAGGCCCGCGCCTTCTTCGTCTTCAGCCACACCAACAAGTCAATACTTTACAGTGCTGCTTTTCCACATTTTCCACTTCTCCCACCGCTCTGTTCTGCCGTTTTCTTGTAACTGTTTGACACGCAGGTTTGAACTTCTCCTACTCTCTCTCTCTGCGTTCTAGATTCAGGGTTCTGTGCCATAAGATAGTCAACCACAACATCTTTACAAACCTCATCCTCTTCTTCATCCTGCTGAGCAGCATCAGTCTGGCAGCGGAGGACCCGGTCAAGAATGACTCTTTCAGAAACCAGGTAACACACACAGTCAAACATGTGTTCTGGTACAAATAGAGTGCAAATGGACAGAGGACTAAAAGCTCACCATAACCTAAAAACATTATCAATCCAAAGAATAAAACATTTCAGGAAAATACAACAAAGCTTATTTTTGTGTTTTCTATTTGTTTCATTGTCGGTTTGTGTTCTGAACATGATTAATGTTAGCAGTTATCACTGAGTTTCTGTTGCTTAACCCTCTCTTTTTGCTTAACCTTTCTTTATTAGTCAGATGTTTTTGCAGTATATAGATAACAATGTTTTTCTCTTTTTCCCAATTTCACCAGGAAAATATTTTATTTATTTCAGTTTATTTTTAGCTATAGTGTAAACTAAATGTAATTTGCATAAGAAAAAAGCAGAACTCTGCCTCAAGCACAAGTACTAAAAGCTCGAAAGATTTACTGTTTGTAACCTTTAAGGATACATGTTGCCACTGATAGAGAGGTATATTGCTCATAAATTATTAATTTAGTGTTAAATCAAGGTCTTTTTTAGAGACACATGTAGATGTACGTTAGCCAGACTCACTGAACTCCAGTTGAAACCTTCATGAAATAAATCATCCTGTATGTGAGCTTTTTTTTCATTTTTCAAAGTGTATTTAGAACATTTTTCGACACTTTTACTTTGAGCAAATCTTTTTCACTTTATTTAATCTGTGTTAATGGTTGGATTTAAGTTTATTCCTAAAATGTATCAGAACTCTGTTTTCTGTTCATTGATACAGAAACAACTTATCAAAACCAGGAATTAACTTGTGCCTACGCACGTGGTCAGTGATGTCATTACAGTGGTATCCCTCAACTAAAAGCAGTAATATTTCTTATTGCATTTCTAGATCCTGGGCTATGCAGATCACGTCTTCACTGGACTCTTCACCATAGAGATTATTCTCAAGGTAGTTGTTAAGGAACATGAGACCATACCATCTGTATTCACAGCTGTAGAATCCGAATTTTCTGGGACATACTAGAGACTTACTTCTGTCAGTGCTGCTGGCAGTATGTTTGCAGTGTACAGTAGTGTAATGTAGCCTTGTCTCTAGCAAAAGGTTGGACCTCTCTAGACCCTTCAGTGGATAAGAGGCTGGAGATTGATGCAGAGATGGAGATAGTAAATTTAACATTTTAATGATCAGAAATATTTTTGTCAGTCAAAACCTTATTCTCATGTTCTATGACAATTTATTAAACACAGACGAGTTTGATTTAAAGATCTAATTGATGCATGTCTGTATGTGGTCATAGGTAAGATGTCGGATCGGCGGTTTATCTTGTATTATCTGCATGTACTCTACTAAGTGGTATGTTTATTTGCAGATGACAGCCTATGGGGCCTTCCTCCATAAAGGTTCTTTCTGTAGAAACTATTTCAACATTCTGGACTTAGTGGTGGTCAGCGTATCCCTCATATCCTCCGGAATACAGTGAGTGCAACATGACCAATACTGGTGATTCACTTGGTGAACATTTTAATCTAAATGTTGTGCACAAATATCAGGTTTCTCTTGTTAATCCACATATAATTAAACACACAGTTGTGTTATGAGTGCACCAAATGATTTACAGCATGAGCTGAAGTCCACGTACACACTAGTTCTAACAGTTTTGAAAATGTTTGTTCTGCACCCGTTTTAAAAACCCACATTACTAAAAAACCTTTCTCTCTTCATGATGTTTTAATAGAAATGTTTCTGCTGTTTGTGACAAATAACATGCGGAGTTACTTTGTTGTTTAATATGCTATGCTACGCTCTCTGTCTCTAATGCTTAATAGACTAGACTTCTCGACGTAAGTCCACATTGGTCCATATCAATAATCCCTTTAACTGACTTTCACCTTGCAAAGCTCTCACTATTTTGATTTGAAATTTCTATGGTCTTGGAGAGTTTTGCTTCAACCAGAACAACATTGAAAGTAACCAAATCGTTAATTTGTCAGTAGGCCCATTTCCGTGGCATATTGTGAAATTCAATATATGATTTCTTATTTTTTTAATATTAGATTTTTGTGTTAGAATATTGCAAAATATTACATTAAAGACAATAGCATATTTTTCTAGCAATACAAGATTTTACATTATGAGAATTATCTTATTTTTGATTAAAAAAGGGTGTTCAATAAACACCATCCAATCCTTTTTCATGGATAATTAATTGGTCTGATTCAATAAATACTAAACTGATAGATTGAACTCTCCTGGGTTATAGAAATGACACGTGAATGCTAAAATTTAGTAGTTTTTTGCTTGTTAAAGGTAGTGAATGTGTGGGATTTTTCTTGAATGTATCACAGTTAAACTGATTGTGATGGTGTTGGTGCATTTGAGTGTCCCTGTAGCTTTCATAACATACTGTGGCACATTTTCCTGAGGTACTTTTTTTTTTGCTTCCCGATAATTCCACATTTCCTGACAATACATGCATTTTTTTGTCAAGAAGTGGTAAAATTGTTCGGAACGGGCCAGTCTTTGGAAAGATTATAAATACTAAAACATTCTTAACGACACTCAGACAGATTGCCTTTTTGTTTTGTCTCCTTTAGTCGTCCCGTTGTGTGACAGCATGAAAAATGGCTGGACATGAAAGACATGAAAGAACAGCAACTTGGCCAACATAAGAATCAATATCTTATGACCTCATATCTATTTTTGTTTTCTTATAGATGGATAGAGTACTTCTTGTCATCAGGTGGTTGGTAAATAGTGCTCTTTGTTCCTGTCAGCCCACTCAACTGAGGCACCATTTATGATGACGCTATTGTTAAAATGCTTTTGACTCTGTGTGGATTGTATTATAGCCAGAATATATCCTCACAGCTGGTTTGACTGTGATATGTGGCTGATCCCATTTCACAAGAACTACCTTTAACTTCCTTCAGACTTTTCCTTCCTCTGTAAAGAGTTGCACAACGGATGTTTTTCCTCTTTTCTCTTTCAAAACGTTTCCCTTTTATTCCCTTTTCAATCACCCCTTTCACCTGAAATGTCACTCCCTAAAAGATATATGTTGACATTTTGAATACACTTTTTCTTCTCTAACTTTGTCACTTGATGGGAAAAAGTTTTTGCACTCGTTCTTGAACTATCTGAGCAATGGGCCCACCACTTTATCACTCGAAAATCAAAGAGGATCCCACGTGTCGACTGGGATTTATAGCATGTTTGACTCTTGTGACTTTAAGAGATGATATTTAACCTCTGAGACCTTGTTCAGATCAGGGAAGAACTGATTCCAGCTTTTTCCGGTTATCTTCAAATTCAGAATGTCAATGTAGAAATCAGATTCTTTTTGTTATTATTTATTAAAAAACATTATTTTTTAACCACTTTCTTTCAAGGATCCCACTGTTTGACCGTTGGCTTGTACTGACACTCTCTTACAGCATAGTGATTCTCTGTTTGCCTGTTAATGTCTATTTGTGTCTTTATTTGTGTCTGACTGTGTTGTATTTGTGTATTTGTCTATGTGTTGTATGTATTTTTATGTGTGTTGTATGTTCCACGATATTACATATAAATCACCAGTAAAAATGGCTTTGAGCCATATTCGTTGACTCAGATTTAGTAGATAAGCCATAACGACTTTAAGTAAGAATTCCTTCAATATTTGCAAAGCTACTCATATTATGCCTTTTAAAAGGCATTTTATTTTGTGATCATTTCAGTTACTCTTTATAGAACTGACAGCTTAAATATGTAGGTATGTACATATTATAAGCTAACAACAGAATCTGTTGAATTCATTGTATATTATCTCATCCCACCATTAAAACTAAAAGAAACCTGAAGCAGCATGAAGTGTATTAAATGGTCTTTTTAAATACTGTTGGTAAACATTTAATCTTGACTAGGTCACCTGACATCTGATGTCACTTAACACCAATTCTGCATTTCTTCTTTCTTTCTTTCTGGAGTGTATTTCGTAAACATGCCTCATTTAGTCTTAATTTTGACAAGTTCACTCACCCATTTTTTGCATATATTTTTGTGTTGAGTTGTCTGGATCTTCAGTTTGAGGTGAAATCACAGATGCTACAGACAGTGGGCAGAGCGTTGCATTGTTCCAAAAGTCAGTTGTTTATTCTCTGGTGTTTTTCAGGTCCAGTGCAATTAATGTGGTAAAAATCTTGAGAGTCCTGAGAGTGCTTAGGCCACTGAGAGCCATCAACAGAGCCAAAGGACTAAAGGTTTGAATTCTCCAATGTTTGATAAAAGTATTCAATCAACTCCCCTCTATAACAAACACACTCATTCTCGTGATGCTCTCTGTGTTTTTCAGCATGTGGTGCAGTGCGTGTTTGTGGCCATCAGAACCATTGGTAACATAGTCATAGTCACCACTTTGCTCCAGTTCATGTTCGCCTGCATTGGAGTTCAGCTCTTCAAGGTAAAAAGGCACAAACAGAACTTTGGGTCTTTCTGAGGCTTTCAGCAGGCTCTGAGAAATTTCACCGGGGATGTTTCATCTCTTTCCACCAGGGCAAGTTCTTCTATTGTAGCGACAGCTCCAAACAGACTCATGCAGAGTGCAAGTAAGCAATCCCCCCTGCACACCACTTAGGATTTTTTCTCTTACGACCAAACAAACCGTGTGAATATATATGTTTGTGTTTTTGAAGGGGTTTTTACATTATATACAAAGATAGTGATGTTGGGAAGCCTGAAAGAGCTCGGAGAATGTGGGAAAACAGTGAGTTCAACTTTGACAATGTCCTGCAAGGAATGATGGCTCTGTTTGCTGTATCCACCTTCGAGGGCTGGCCAGGGTAGGTGGACATACACATACAGCTCCACGTCAGTGTATTTTCCAACGTTTGGTTCATGATTGGGCTTCTGTATGTCTCTTACTACCCCAACTATGCTGCTCCCAGGTTACTGTACCGAGCTATAGACTCCCACGCTGAGGATGTTGGGCCCATCTACAACTACCGCGTGGTCATCTCTATCTTTTTCATCATCTACATCATCATTATTGCCTTCTTCATGATGAATATCTTTGTCGGTTTCGTCATCGTCACGTTTCAGGAGCAAGGCGAGCAAGAATACAAAAACTGCGAGCTGGACAAGAACCAGGTAGGTTTTAACTTCTGTATACCTCCTCTATGCTTTCTTAGCGTCCTTTTGAAACGCATGGAATTTTTTGGACTTGTCAAAGATTGTTCGACATTATTTCAGCTTGGCGGGCAAAAGGCAGTGTCTGTACATGTTGAATTGTGTGGTTGTGTCACAGCGACAGTGCGTGGAATATGCCCTGAAGGCCCGTCCTCTGCGGCGGTACATTCCCAAAAACCCTTACCAGTACAAGGTGTGGTATGTGGTCAACTCCACATACTTTGAGTACCTGATGTTCACACTCATCCTTCTCAACACCATCTGTCTGGCCATGCAGGTGAGTTCGACATGTGCTGGCATTCACAACCATTCCAGGGGCTAAATGTGAGGCTGGAAAAATTGAGAAACTTCCTCAAAAACAACCCCCATAAAACTACAACTGTCTGTTGGAAATGTTGACATTTTTTGTGTTTTTGCAGCATCATGGACAGACTAAAAATTTCAATGATGCAATGAACATCCTCAACATGCTCTTCACCGGACTGTTCACTGTTGAGATGATCCTAAAGCTGATCGCCTTCAAACCCAGGGTAGGTACAGCACAGCAATGTGGGCTGAAGAATCATTCCTGCTTTTCAGATGGTATTGAATCAAATTTGATATGTTAAGCATTAAACTAATGATGACTGGTAATAAGTTGCTGTTTTGTGTTGTTATATTGTCATTTCTTCTATCATAATTGAATTGATATTAATAATCAAACGGCTGTTTCAAATTTAGTAAATTACGGCAAAGTACATCAAATATTTCAAGCATAGTTTGTAAAAATCTTAAGATATGTATTCTATATAACATTTTCTACTTATTGGTGGTATAGCCATGAAAAGTTACATATAGTGTTTTTTGGAAATAACACTAATCTGCAAAACTATCATTATTCTGAAGACAAAGAGTCAAGGTTCAGGAACTCCAGGATGAGTGTTTTTTATTCAAATGAATGCAATCCGTTCGTCCTGTGATATATTTCTTAAATGAAATCGAAATATGTTTTATTTTACTCTGGGTAGCACAAAGCAAGCCTTTTCCATGTTTATTAAATCTCAGTGTCCACATTTAGATTGGATAACCTTTAAGACTGGGGAGTGTGCATCATGCTGCACTGCATTGTTTGTGTAGTGATTTGGATTGTTTACCTAGAGACTGTTAAAGGCGGTTTTTCTCCTCATGATTTAAAGGTGAGGACTTTCAAGGAGTAAAGTAGTGTATTTTTCTAAGACATAAACAAACAGGAAAACCTTTTTCTCCCTGCATCCTATAGTGCAGCATGACGGATTACTCCTCAGCCTTTCTGAACAATTGCTGAGATGTACTTTGTTTTGTATGTCTTCACTTATCTTCAAACGCTTTTATCAACCTTCGTCTTTAGCAGTCATCACACAAAGAGCTCAGTAACACCTTTATTTGCAGGTATCGTTGAGACTCCTGGAATTGGCTCCAGTACCGGCTCTATGTACAACATTTTTCCATCTATGTGATTGATTTGACAGGTTGCAAAGGAACAATTACTACAATGTCTTGCTGTTTTCACAGTTTGTTTATTCAGGGGTTGTACAGCTCAGAGTATTTATATTTCTGATTGATTTTCTTTTTTTTTATCATTGCTGATGCCCAATACATGTGTGTCTGTAGTTAATTCATTTGTCAGATATAAACAATCCACACAGAAGCATTTGGATACTAATGCAAAGCTTTCTTCCACTAATTCTCAACGTGAAATTAAATTAAATCAGTCTTCCTGAAACTAAACTCAGCTTTAATGACATTGCAGTAACCCGAGGCTTAAAACCTTACCATAATGTGATTATGTCGAGGAATTGCAGAAAAAAAGAAGTTTGTCTTTTTCCTAATGATACAGCAGCTGCTGCACATGAGACGGCTGAAAATAGAGCTGTACAATTGATCTCCACTCAGACCAAATAATTTACAAGTAGATCTTTACAAATTATTTTGTTATGTATCTAAAACTGTCTGGGTTTTTTTGCAAGGTTATACTGCTATACAGCAGTTTACGTACAGTCGATGGCAACTGTGCAAATATTAAACTGCTAAAAGAACAGCCCATATATCATTAACAATAATCCTTCCCTAGACCTGGTACATGGTCTTGGAGATCCAATCATTTTCTTAAACACGATGGAGGTACTGAAATTGTTTTGGAAAGACATGATTATTCCAGTTCTTTAAGCCATGAGAGGAGGTGGTCTGCAGAATTGCTCTAAAAAGAACGGTGGACAGCTTCTGAACAGCTGTCAAACACACCATCCTGAACAGAGGCAGAAATTCAGCTGCACTTGATGACCAGATATCAGTGGAAACTTCTTATCTTTCCATGTGTCGGCTCATCAAGTGTAGCTGATTTTTTTTTTTTTGCTGTTTCCTCTGTGCACTGTACGATCTCATACCACCGTAATGGGGCTGCAAAGTGGCAGCAGATGTTGTTTTCCTTCTAACCTACCTTTCTCACCCTCCTCCTCCTCCTGCTCACCTCATCCTGTGTAGGGGTACTTTAGTGATCCCTGGAATGTGTTTGATTTCCTCATCGTAATTGGCAGCATAATAGACGTCATTCTCAGTGAAATCAACGTAAGTACGAAGCCCCCTTTCAGTCTCCTTGTCTCTTCCTCTCAGTCTCTGTCTTGTGTTTCTTCTCGCTTCTATAACTTTTCTTCACTCTCCTTCCTTTTTTGGCACCTCTGTGTTGTGCTGTTTTTTTTTCTCCTCATCTCTCTGTCTTCTTTGTTAGCTTCTACTCTCTTCTCTCTTCTCTTTCCTCCCTCTCCTCTTCTTTCATCCTTAAATCCAAGATGGCCACTGCCACTCGGGGGGACACCCCCTCCTGCCCGACACCATCTTCAAGGGTTCCTGAACAGGAGCGTGCTACAGACATGGTTTCCCAAAAACAAGGAGTTACACAGGCAGGGTTTAGCATTGAAGGGTTTTTTATGCTGCATCCTCTTTTGCTGCTCCCTACGGTATCTGAAATGTTCTTCGATTCTTCGTTTATTTTATTTTATCTTATTTTTTGGCCGCACTGTGACATAGATGAAATTCCCAAACTAACTGAACTAACTCACTGACCAATCACAAACAGCCTTACACAGCTTTTTAACTCCAGCAATGGGCACTTTTTTGTTGTTGTTGTTGTTGTTATTTTGTTGCAATTTGTTCTTTACTGTTGTTACTGTTGACATTTCCTCTCATGGACAAGCATGACCGGTCGCTGCTGCTCCTGCTCTGCTGTCCATCTCTTGAGACTGCCCCTTCTTTTCTTTTTGTGCGATTTAATTTTGTTGATTATTTCCCTCTTTCCTACTACTAAAAACTCCAGTGCTCATGTGTGTAATGTTTTATCTTATTTTTCTCCTCTCTCCTTTGATTTCTGTTGTTTCCATTATTTAAATGTCTTATGTTCTGTCCTTTTCTTTTTTCTGTTGTTTTTTCTTTTTCTTTCCACCCCAACGCAGCATTATTTTGTTGATGCATGGAACACATTTGATGCCTTGATAGTTGTGGGTAGCATTGTTGACATTGCGATCACTGAGGTCAACGTAAGTAGTCCTACTCCCTCCCTCACTTCCTGCCTGTCTGATCTGCCATTCTCACACACACAAACAGACCGAGCGCTGATACCCATCTCGCATGCTTTCAAATGATTGATGAGACAACCAGATGTAGCACGATCAGACCAAAAAAACATTGCTTCAGAGGTTCTTTTACATGTGTTAAAACTGCTCTTATTCCCACCCAACACCTAGATAACGTCTGTCATGGCCAGATGACATAGGTTGTTATTGTTCAGATATCACAACGGGAGTTACTTTTTCTCAAACTCTTTTCTTCTGTGTGCACTTTTGGGTTTTTGCTGAGCATAGTAATTCAGACATATATTTTTTAATGTTTTTAAGTGTTCGTTTGGATGTCGAGACATTTGAAACTGCTTCAGATAGGTATATATGCCTCGGTCTGCTGAGCATCAGTAGCATCAGAAACTATTGCATTTCTCAGTAGATCCTGTTGCATCTCCTCAGCACTTGGTTTGGGTTCACATCGTAAGATTTTTCATCAGTGCCACAGGGGGAACAAATCATTCCTCTGGCACGATGGACACTGCACAGCATGACAGATACAAAGGTGGTATATCCAGGCCCTTTTATTACATCTCACATTTTCAGAAAAATCAACACATATGCAAATGGCTGATTTTCTGGTGTTGATTCTCATTTTTGAACAGTAGTGTTTTATGCAAAGGGTCAAAAACACTCTCAGTTCATAAATGAACAGGAAAACTTTTAGTCTCTAAAAAAATAATAACAACACAAGATTCTCTCATCACAATGTGCATGTATCGGAACAATTTGATGGATTTACTCAGCTTCCATGAAATGTATGTAAATATATGTATGAATTCATTTAATATCGACATGGACACCCTTTGCTCACCAGTGGGCCTGAATAAGAATGAATATCCCAAACACAAGTCAAATGTTGAGTGTATGTATTATTTACAGTTTGGCGACAATTGGTTGTTTTATTCATGTGGTATTGAACGTTCACTTTGGCATGAGAATAGTTTGAGAATCAGGCAAATGATAATGTCATTGAATAGAAGTGCAGTTCATGTACCCATAGAGAAAAATCCTTTCTGTGCTATGGCTACTATGGCTGCATGTTAGAACATTTTGTCAGCTGTCCGTAAATTAAGTCTTTGTTTTTCTAGCCAAGACTGTAATTAACTTCTGTTTGATGGATCGGGTCTTCTTTTAAAAAATATTGTCTGTCTAATGACAAACAGCCAGGGAAAATCCCTGAAGGGACTCGATATTAAGTGACAGCTTGTCAAGTGGCGATAGTCCCCTTTTAGAGTCAAATCTTGATACTTTTTTTCTTTTCTTAGTTGTAGAGTAAAAATTAGGTTTTCATTTTTAGGAATATGTTTTTGAGTCATTTTCAAACATGCTCAGCAAACGAAAAACCCTGTAGAGACTGGTGCTATTCCAGTTCACTACATTTCTCACAGTCTGGCTGTTTTGCCTCATTTTCCATGTTTTTTAACCAAAATGTAAGCTATGTATCAGCAAAGGTATAAGAGAGACTGTATCCCTCTCTTAAATAGGACTCAAATAACTGTAATATAGATTACCATCAATGCTCATGGCAGGAGGGGAATGAACATTTTGATTCTGGAACAAAAGGCAATTCACAAATGTTTTCTTGACATGCAGCAATGTGGTTTTTTTAAGAGGAAGGAGAAAGGGATAGATAGTATAAAGACGTGGTTTAGCGTCAAGAAACCACACCTGAAGTCAGTAACGCTGCAACACTTTAAACTTAAAAAAATTATATTGTTCCGATCACCTCACATTAATGGAAACATTAGGATTTTAACAACAACATCACTTGTTTACCAGCAGGAATTAAAACTGTTCAGTTCAAGTTAAAAAAAACTTCATCAAAAAGCAGTTACTTTCTTCCTTTTAATCTTAGAATAAAAGTATTTATTTTATCACAGTTTAGCTATAGATGGATGCATGTTGCTCCATGAAATTCCTGCCAAACTCTCAAGTGTTAACTGTTTTGAGGAAATGAAACAAGTGGAAGTGAATATGGTATATTCCCCAATGGTGGCTACAGTGTGTTTCACGTCAGTCAGCACTGGTCAGGCATACAAATAGAGCCGGTGCATCCGGCTTGGCACTTTTTCTCATGCCTTTAGAAAGGGAATCCATTTGTGCCTTTAGAGGTTGACAAAGCTGCTACTAAAAGCCATTGGGTAATTTTTAAACTGTACCAAGAAATTAAATGCTTTATTCAGTCTTTATAAGTACTTATTAAAGAGAAAATGTTGCCAAGGAATGATGTTAAATGTCATTTAGTGTCATCATTACTCTTCATTGGCAATATAAATTAATTAATTAATTTAAATAAGAGTGTATATGAATAAAACTCTGAATTTAACAGTTAAAATGGCTGATTTAGGGGGAAAATCTAAGTGAGCACGTCCCTTTAAACAGAGGCCAGTGATATACACCTTTGTCATCTGTTCGATTCACTGATGTTGCACTGCACACTTTGTTTTGGAGTTTGCTTTTGATTTGATTGATTTGGTCATCTGAGAGATTGGTTTATTTGGTTACTTGAATGATTCATTATTTTTACCTTGATCACCTCTAACCTAAAGGCATGCCCCAACTCTTCGACTTTTCCTTTGGTAGTTTTTAATGATTTGAGTGATGAGATGCCCAAGCTGCTTTTTCTCTGTTTTTTTTCGTTCTTTCTTTTTTTTTTTAAGAAACCCTCCGCACTTTAATCCCGAAAGAACTCTTGACTGTTTTTTTAAGTTAGACCCCGTGAAGTTGACATTTTGCATTTTAGCCTATCACTGCATCTCATTAGTGGCACAAGTCTGGATGGATGTTTTTGACTGCTGAGCAGTAGAGTTAACATCAGCTTGTACACTTTTTCTCTTTTTGACTGATTGTTGCACAATGACGTGCAGTGACAGGCTAGCTTTTAAAATGTTAGGACTTACGCTTTAGTAAATATTAAATGACCAAAGCATCTCACCTGAGTGCGCCCACTTTACTGTTCTGTTGGGTGTATGTTAACTCAGAAAGGCTAAATTCCATTTTTTTGAGGTACAGAAAGTGGCAATCTGGGTTTTTAATTTGTGGCAGCAACATTTGCGGGTGCTTCTTAAACCTTTTATAGTTTCATTTACATTTTAGTTTGGTTTGAGTCGAACTAGTGTGAACAGATTAGTAGTGGTTTGCTCTGAGCAGTGTCTTGCAGAGGATGCCAGTATGGATTGCATCAGTTTCTCTTTCTCTCTTTTTGGAATGCCCCTCTTTCTTCTCTTCTTTTCCTCTTCCTGAACTTTTTCAGTTTCCTTTATTGTTCTTTTATGGATGTTTATCTCTCTCTTTCTCTTTCCTTGTTGGTTTGCGGTGCTGCTTGCTCATCTGAAATGCAAGCTGGGTAACACGGGTCTCTCATGCTAATTATTTGTCCTTAGAAGGACAAGCAGCTATCCTCAGCATATGTTTAAAATTTCCATACGTTTAAAAGATTTTGGTGATTTAATATTACTATTGCTATTTACCATCACAACATATAAGATATTTAGTCGTTTTTCAATTTCACAGAAAACAACTCCCAACATATAGATAAAAACATTGAAATAGAAAGTATGAATTCATCATGACACTCTTGTTACCCATCAAACTGTTCAAATTTTTGCCGAGAAAATGGTGTGCAATGTGAGAACAACCACTGAGTAGGAAATAGAGTGACTCACATCTGCATTGTGGTTCACTATGAAAAAGATAACTGTATATTTAATTGTTTTGTGTCTCTATTCAATTTCTTTTTGTTAAAATCCTCCAGGGACACATATTTGTTGCAATCTCTGTCGCTGGGTTTTTTTTTTTTGTCAGAGCACATTAAACAATAAGTCTATTTTAATATCATACACACATGGATTTCATCTTGAAATTAAGCAAATTTAGAGTTAAATCTTGCTGAAATTGAACCAGTTAAATCTTAATCCTTGCACTTGATCAGACACACAAGTTGCTACATGGACCAGATTCAGTGCAATTCTGGGAATCCAGCACTCTTCCCTCCATCCCTCCTTTCTTTCACGTCTTGCAAATTTTCCTTCCCTTCACCTTTATAAACAGTATTCTTTATCAGGCATTGAGTACATGTCTCTTCAGATGCCTACAAACACACAATATTGTCCTTTCAAGCCCCGTTAGCCCCCACGATAAACAGTTGATTTTTTAGTTTTCTGGTAGTTGTCTGTTTAAACAATAGTTCATGTGTTTTGAAGCAAGCATCACAACAGTATGGCCCTGTTAAAGCCCTTTAAATGCATAATTCCTTCCCTCTGCTTCTATCTGTAATTTTCTTCTATTTTTCTTCATTATATAGTTATCCTTCATTACCTCTTTCTGCCTTTACTTCCCTAAATCCTTAATATAATTTTTCTTACTTTATCCTTAATTCAGATTTATTTCCCCTCTCTTTTCCTGTGATTTATGTCCATCCTTCAAAGCTCTCCTGACATGCTGTACTTTTTCATTGTGGGAGAAGCCAGGGAGCAATAATGCATTTACTGTGGTGAGCTATTCTAACAGGGCCCATGCAAAGTGAGCACCTCCTAAATCATAGATTGAACTTCCGGTTCATCTATCGCTGGGCATTTTTAGCACTGCAATGCCAGCAATGACCAGTGGGTGCTTTGTGACAGAAGATGGTTTATGTGCTTCTTACCGCTTCGTAAAAATATGTTGGCTCCAATTTCCGAAAGCATCTATGTTGGTTCTCTAACCGGAACTGTCTCAGGCATATAGCTTATCATCGTGTTCTGGTGCTCCTTTGACCTGAAAGCAGATGAAAAGGTATGACCACAACCTTTACCCGGAGAACAACCGGAACAACACGGTTCTGAGTTGTTTGGGAGGGCTGCGGTCATTCCTTTTTTTGCTGTGTTTTTACCTGTTCCCAGGTCAAAGAATCATGTAAAATACATTTGGTGAACAGTGTCTCTCTAACACAGTTTCAGCTGGCAGAAAAACAAAACAGCTACAGAGGCGCCCCATCATTTACACACACAGATGCACTCCCAAAAATTTGCCCCCCAAAGACAACTTCATGCTTGTCTCAGTACTTTGGAAAGATATTTACCACGCAGGCTCTACATATTTTAGTCTTTCATTCCTTCGATAATACTGATTCAGCTTGATGTGGCAGTAACAACACCAAGATCCCTCAGAGACGCTCAGATTAAATCACACTTGTAGTCACCTGAGGAGGGCTGATCAAAGCCTGAACTCCCATTACCGTGGTGGGCTGTGGGTGCTTTTTTGCTCCTGGCTGGTGCCCAACTTCCACACACAGACACACACCCGTACACGCACAAGAATGAGGAGAAAAGCACGTGCTTATGCGTGCACACAGACTCAAACGCACACAACAGGCGCTGCTCTGGTGCTGATCCTTGTTGCCTTTCCTTAAAGCCAGCTGACTCCTCCTCGTCCTCGTCCTCCTCCTCTTCGTCCTCCTCTTCCTCCTCTTCCTCCTCTCACCCCCCTGTGGTAAGGCCAATGGTACGCCCCAACGGTAACCTCGTCCGCCTCCCTACCTCCTCCACCATCCTTCCATCCCTCCATCCCTCCATCCCTTCTTCTGCTATACCATCCACGGTATGACCTGAAACTTGTGGCTTTTCATTCAAATTGTCATCCTGCTGTGATCTTCTGCAGCATGCCCAGAGTTCTATGGATGTCGCTGTCCTTTGTACATTTGCATATACTGTATTTATGTATATGTGTGTGTGTGTTGCTAGTGGGGGACACTGCACTTTGCAGGCTCAGGATAACTTAGACATGTGACGTTCAGTTCACTCTTTTCCTTTCCCCCCCCAGTCCCCATGGCTTGTTCCTTTTTCTATGAAAATGTGAGATCTTTAGTGCTTTTGACATTGGTACAAACCATTATAGTCATGCTATCAAACGACCCTCTTTCTTACATTCCACTGGCCGCCTTCTTTCTTTCTTCCTTCCTTTCTTTTTTCTTTCTTTCCGTCTTTCGATCTGCCTGTCTATCTTTTTTTCTGCCTATGTCTTTTCTTTCTATCTGTCTGTTAAAAGTCAGTGTGTTCAATGTCTGATCATTTTTTAACTATTCTTCATCTTAAGCCTGTCTCTCTTGCGTTCTTCCTCTCTCCGTTACACTATCTGTCACTGTACTTCTCCTGCTCACTGCACCCACTCTCTTTAAACTGATACAGTGGTGCCCACTGTGGTCAAGTTGTGGCATTTATTTGCGGTACAGAACTGTGATTTCCACTCCTCAGAAGGACATGCCATTTTCAACATATCTGCCAGTGGAGTTTGGGGCAACTCATATCTGTCATTTTGAGTTATTTAATAAAAGAGAGTATGACCTCTATCGTTTGAAAGAAGCTATATTATCTTGATATTTCAGTATTTTACACTATTGGAATCGTTTTTGGGATTTTTCCAAACATTGCATCCCATGTTAGATTTTAATCTGTGCTGTATTTAAGTGATACGTATGATATCTGTTATCCCAAACTGCATCCTGATGTGTGGAGAATGACATGCTCTCTGTGAGAGCACATTGTGTTCTCTGTGGGTTAATCTGAAAGAATTGATGGCTTCTTGGAAAAACACATATGGCTGAACAGACTCAGGTGGCAGGTTAACTTATACTGTTTTTCTTTGGTCACATGTGATTATTGCATTAGAAAAGTAGCTCAGAGATTAGATCTTGCTGGTTGTTAGGGATTTTATAAATAGATTGCTGTTATCATTTTTGCACCATTTTGAAGGTTAATTTGTATATTTGATGCTTAGTCTTTCCCACTTGTGCTGAAGGCTTTGAATATTATTTTAAGATGCTGCTTTCCGGCTTTATTAAGGACATCAAGTTGTACGAAACTGACATTCCCTTTGTTATTTAGCCTTTTTTTGTCTCTATCACACTTGCATATGACTAAGTAGGAGCAGGAACATCTGGAATAAAGTAGCATAAAGCTGAATATTTCATTATGAATTTACTCTGTGTCTGCAAATGTTTGCAATACAAAGTTGGAGCAAAACATGTTTATGTATTTTGCAATTACATATTTTGATTGTAAAGCACAATTTCTCAAATTAGTTATTGTTTGAGGGCAAAGTGTTTCACATTAATTGAAGGCCTGGGATTAAAAATGTTTGCTGCAGGTTCTCAAATGGGATCAGAGGAGTATTGTAAGGATTCATTTTGATACAAATAATGAATTAAAAGGCAGAACACAGGGCTGTGATTTTAAAGCTTAGTGTTATAAAGACAAAGCAGTAAAATCCTGTTTATGATGCATTTGAGAATACAGTTATTTGTACGGTTCAAATTGTGAGGTATAACGAGGCTGGATTGTTAGTGGAATTTATTCTTGCCAAGTATTTTTCCATGAAGTCACAACAATGAGCATGACTGCCCGATTCTCTCCCAAATCTTTCGTGTCAGTTGATTTTGATGGGATTTTGTAGGACGCTAATTTCCATTTATTAACTCAGTACGTGTGTGTGTGTGTGTGTGTGTGTGTTCTGTGTGTGCTCATGTGTGTAATGCATATTTATATCCATATCTTTGTATGGATTGGAATATGTGTACAATTTACTTGTACATCTTAATTTCTGCATATGTCTTTTGTGCATATGCGTGTGAATGGTCATCATCTGCACCTGTGTGTGTGTGTGTGGGTGGGTGGGTGTGTGTGTTCTGTACGTATGCTTCGCCCTTTACCTGTCTGCATGTGTTCCCATGCGTCCTGTGTTTTTTTTTTTCAACAAAAAAAAAAAACACCAAACCCCACCAAAAGGGACTGCAGAACTCTGAAGAGAACGCCAGGATCTCCATCACCTTCTTCCGGCTGTTCCGCGTGATGAGGCTGGTGAAGCTGCTGTCTCGCGGGGAAGGGATTCGGACCCTGCTGTGGACCTTCATCAAATCCTTCCAAGTGAGGGGAGAACCGGACACTACATGCCAGAGCACAGGGCTGGGTTTCCATCAGAATAGGATGTAGAGTTAGCTCTAATATGATGTAGATTTATTTTTATCTTTAAAGTTCAATTTTTTAAGATATTATTACTTTTAAATGATGGAATTAGGTTTCCTAGTGTAAGTGTTGAAATCTAACACTTCACCCAAGATATCTTTAACTAACCCCAATAACTCAGTTTCGGCTGATTTATTCAGATGTGAGACACATAAGGCTAAAATGCCTTTACTCCTGTGTGAATCACATCCTTCCTATGCAACAACTTTCACACAAACTCAGGGATATGGGGAAAGAGGATGGGAGGGAAATGGTGCGAGTTAATGGAGAGGAGTCGCACTGCAGAGTTATGGAGGAAAGTTGGGACATAAAACATAAATAAAGTCAAATACCTTCTTTCACTCTCTATTTCTTTCTCCTTCTCGTCACTTTCATTCCTTCTCCCTCCTTTCTTTTAATTCTCACACATCCTTCCACTAACCTTTAGAGCTCACCATTCCCCGTAGGCAAGTTAAGAAGTAGATACGTTTTTCAAAGCACTTCACCAAAACAGGAAATCATTTGATGAGAGTTGCGATATGAAAATGGTCTGTTCTCTCCCCTGTGTTCCCTGAGATGGGCCACTTTTAAAGGCTACAGTACAATCACTTAAATTCTAACATAATTCAGCTAAAATCAGAGTTCTGCTCATTTTCTTGTGAGTTGACATCTTGAGTTGCCTTTAAATAACCAAACTTTGAATTTGTTAAATTTCTGTCATGATTTGGCCCTACTCACTCTCACACTGGGGTGATGCTAGCCAGAAGATCAGCTCTACAGTACACAGTTCCCAGTTTGCTATTGTTTCGTTTTTTGGGTGTTTTTTTTTGTTGTTAGTTTGTTTTTTTATGTAGAATTTGCTGGGACTGGCCTCTTGGCTAAAGCAAGAGAACAATTCGCACAACTCCTATACCAAAAAAGCAAGATGTGTAAAATGGAAATAGAATCAGAATGCACAGATTTGCAAAACTCATAAACCTGCATTTGCAGTAGAACATAAAGCGTCTCAACTGTTGAAAGTGAAGATTGAAGCTGGATCCCTGTTATGTTACATTCTCACAGCATTACATAAAAACATGATTCTGTCATGGAAACTTCTGTATGGAGTCACCATTGTCTAAGAACAGTTCACTCTCACTTCCACACATGCACATTAAGCTAAAAAAGATACCATTTGTGAACATGATCCCACAGTTTTGCCTTTATCCAATGGATAAAAGCAAAGGAACTTGCAACACTGGCACCATTAGACTGTTTTTAGACTGTTAGGAATGAAACAGAGTGGTGAACGTACACCTGCACCACCTTCTCTGAGACATGCTGCTGCCTTGGAGTTCAGGATTAGCTACAATTTTTATATTATTGTAGAATAATGGAACATTTGATGTTTACTGTTTTGTGAGCAAAATCATTTACCAGCTTTGCAAATCACTGCAGTCTGATGCCTTCTATCCGTTTTGACACAGAATCGCAACATATCTGGAACTGGGGTTGTACTTTATAGAAGCTTTTGGCTCTAAAGTCAGATGATTTGTGCTGGGTTGTTTTTGGTGTTGTGCCATATTGGACTGCCGATCCATTCACCTTCACTCTCCGAAGCAGCTATTTAATTCAGGAGAGAGACCAAGAAAAACATCCATTTGTGGGATTAACTGCTCATTTAACAACAAATCATTTGTGGTGTAATTGGATGTAACTGAAAGTGAATGGACTTCAGACTGAGTGCGGGAAAATGCTCCAGATGACTTGTCGCTGATGTGTCTCTCCTCTCTTCAGGCTCTGCCCTACGTAGCACTGCTTATAGTGATGCTATTCTTCATATACGCTGTCATCGGCATGCAGGTAAGCTGGCGTGCTGGCCTCCTATTTCACTCCTTGAGTCTCTTTCTCTCTCCTATAGCAAGCCTACGTCCTATGTGTGTCTCCCTGGAGTATTGTCGTCCAGAATTCCCGTTTGGTCTCGTCTTCATTCCTCTTTCCTTCTAACTTGGCTGTTTTCTGGTTGTTGTTTGAGTCTCTTGTTTCTTCTACGAGCTCTTGCCTGTAATTCTTATTGACCTCCTTTTGCCAATGCTGACATCATATGCTGTTTGCTGTGACTACTTCCCCCACCCTCCTGTGCAGATGTTTGGTAAGATAGCTCTGCAGGACCACACGCAAATCAACAGGAACAACAATTTCCAGACATTCCCTCAGGCAGTGCTGCTGCTCTTCAGGTGGGGAAAATCACCACTCCACTTAAACATGGGCAGTCTACACTTCACAGTCATATTTGATATTCCTATTTCAGCTGATATGTTCTGTTCTTCGCCATTACAGTGTTCTCTCTTCATAGGATTAGAACATCTGAAATTCCACATGCAATATCTTTGTTTTCTGGCTTCTATGTATGGCAGCCAATCTTTTCTTTGTCTTTTAGTCTTATTTCATAGCAGCATTATTGATAAATCGTTGATAATCAAATTGGTGGTATGGGATTATACATAAAAGGCTAATGTTTATTACCCAAGATGTTTTCTGTTGTTTTTTGTATTTTTTTTGTATTTTCCAACAAAATGTGTACCACTTCCATCATCTTACTTCATATATACTCCTGAGGTCTGAACTTGTGTAGACTCTCCCATTTAGTTTGTTCTCTGTGAAACAGTTTAATACAACAAACATTATAAATGCAATTGATGGATAATTGCAAACCCTGACCCAAAGTATCCGATAACCTCTACACTTCAAAATCAGCTAAATATTTAGAACATATTTAGACATTTGTATTTTATAGTAACAGTGCAGGTAATTCTTACTTGTTCTTTCTTTCATGGTCTGAGCATATGATTGTTTAATTTCAATGATAACTGTTCACAATTTTGTTTACGTGTGCTTGTGTCTCCCTCTTTTTTTCCTCTGTTACCATGTATGTGTGTCACTGCATATATGTATGCATTTACGCATACGCACACACATATGCATGTGTTTTTCTTTATGTGCGTGTTTCTTTTATGTAATTGTGTCTGCATGCGTCTGTCTGAATGTGGGTCGGGATGCATGCCTGCTTCTCTGTATCAGATGTGCAACAGGCGAGGCTTGGCAGGAGATCATGCTGGCCTGTTCACCCCATCGGCCGTGTGAGAAAGGCTCGACCAATGAAAACAGCACGTCTAGCGAAGACTGCGGCAGCCAGTTTGCCATCATTTACTTTGTCAGTTTCTACATGCTTTGTGCCTTTTTGGTGAGTACAGTCATGCTTTGCATTTCACGATAAAATTATCATCACGTGAAATAACATCAATTTGAAAAGTAGTTTTTCAAACTATAATTTACTTCAATGTAATCAGTAAGTTTAAGAGGACACTTTGTAGCAGGCTTAAACTATAATCTGTGTCATATTTAAAGTTCAGTTACTTATTTATCCCCGGTGCTCCTCAGATCATCAACCTTTTCGTTGCTGTAATCATGGACAACTTTGACTACTTGACACGTGACTGGTCGATCCTCGGGCCGCATCATCTTGATGAATTTAAGAGAATCTGGGCTGAATATGACCCAGAAGCGAAGTAAGCTTACAGAATACGGACAAACTATTTCAGAGTGAGGTGGCTAAGGTTGCTGAGGTTCTATGAGGTGACTTGTTTGCTTTTTTCAGGGGGAGGATAAAACACCTCGATGTGGTCACTCTGCTCCGAAGAATCCAGCCTCCTCTTGGCTTCGGGAAGCTCTGTCCACACAGGGTCGCATGCAAGGTAAACACAGATAAACAGTCCCACTAATTCCAAAGTGTGCTCGCTTGACTGCAGCATGGAAAATGCACACTTTAACTTCCTGTGATTCTTTTTGGGCCAACTTTGAGACTTTTTTGCCTTGAGAATAAGATAAGAAAAACAACTTTAAGAGAAAACTTACTTTCTGTGACTTAAAACCTCTCCTGAAGAAATGGTGTCAAGTTGCTTCTGCTTGCTTTCCAATAAACTGCTCACTAAACAGATAAGTGCCCAATCTGCCATCTGTGCAACGTGTTGAAAGAAAGAAATTAATCCGTTTTTGCATTTATAGGAAGATTCTGTGTGTTTGTGTTGTGTGAGCTGATGCTTGCGTGTTTCATCTCACGCAGCGTCTGGTGTCGATGAACATGCCTCTGAACAGCGATGGAACCGTGATGTTCAACGCTACACTGTTTGCTTTGGTCAGAACTGCACTCAGGATCAAGACAGAGGGTAACACCCACACACTTACAGAAAAGTGTCTGATGAAGCTGAGTGAGCCCCTCAGAAACGTCTACCATAATATCACATCATCATATAACCAAACCAGTGACATCATCAGGTTCTCTGCTGTTTTGGTTGTGGGAGGAACCAAACAACAATTGTTGAGGCCTCCGTCTTGTTTGAACATTTGGCTTTAAATGTACTTTCTGAATGCTTTGCGTTGTGTCTGCAGGCAACTTGGAGCAGGCTAATGAGGAGCTAAGGGCAATCGTGAAAAAGATCTGGAAGCGAACTAGCATGAAACTGCTGGATCAAGTAGTGCCCCCTGCTGGTGGTGTGTATGATGATAACACAACTTCAAGTGAAACTGACCTGCAAACCTCAGCTCATTTTGAGTGACCAAAGATTTCACAGCATTGTGAGGCACTTTTCATATTAATGATTCCAACTTCATTGTTTGCAGATGACGAGGTAACAGTTGGAAAGTTCTACGCCACATTCCTCATCCAGGAATATTTTCGCAAGTTTAAGAAGAGGAAAGAACAAGGACTGGTGGGCAAGGTGCCCCCCAAAACAGCCCTCTCTCTGCAGGTGCCTACACAAGTTCTGTGCACAATAAATGACACATTTGTATCAGGTTTTTTTTTGTATAAAGCCATAAAAAGGTGAATTTGTGCAAATGGATCTAATGGCTGATATAAATGAACTATAAACAGAGAGTTATCACCTTTTGTTGATGTTTGGTTCTGTGTGCAGGCGGGCCTGCGGACACTGCATGACATTGGGCCAGAAATTAGAAGGGCCATTTCTGGAGACCTGAATGTGGAGGAGGAGCTGGACAAAGGACTGAAGGAGCCTGTGTCAGCTGCATCTGAGGATGATATCTTCAGGGTAAAGGTTGGATACACACACCCTCAGTCACTCTCCAGAGAGAGAGAAAAAGAGCTGCCAGATCAGCACCAGCTTGATGCCTCATGCCTCTACATGAACACGCCTGCATGTGCGCAGAATGTAGACGTTTGGCAGAGCTGCATGTTCCACCGCAAAGCTCGGCTACACCTTACGGCAGATACTGAGTACCAATTTGACCGTTTTTTTTTGTGTTTTTTTTTAAACTATAACTGCAAAGTACACATATATGTTAAAAAGAATAGGCATCACTGGGACTTTGCACCAGTTAATTGGGCACTGCGTCCAGAAGCCTTTGAAACATACAAAACGGGCACAAAGCTTCTTCCACTCTATTTCCAACAGGGTGAGTTCATCAGCCGTCCATTTTTGCTGTCATTGCAATTTTCACATGCCCTGTTTCATTTGCTGCAGTACTTTTTCTTTTTAAGTTAGCGTGCTGACCCCAAACTCCTTAGAGAGTATCTGCTTCTACATATCCTTCTGGGTATGTAGAAGCAGATATATAGTGGGTAACTGAATATGAAATCCAGAAATGAAAGACTCTTTCAATAGCTTCCCTTTATCAGGATTTACTATCTGCATCATTGAATCTAAGCATTCTGCTTTCTTATCAGAGATTTGTTTTGTAACCATGTAGACATATTATGTCCAAAGGCCTTCGTTTTGCACATTACGAGCTGAGTAAAGAAGCACTAAGAGCCAAAAATGTGACCTCTTGGTCTCTAAAAGTATATTTTATAAATAGTTTGAATGTTCTGTGTTTCTCCACTGATGTTCTCTTTTCATAGCAGTTTTCTCTTCTCCACATTCCCTAAATTTTTCTCTCTCTTTTCAACCCACAGCGCACTGGTGGCTTATTTGGCAACCATGTTAACTACTACAGCCAGAGTGATGGCCGCGGTTCGTTTGCGCAGTCCTTCACCACTCAGCGCCCGCTGCATATCAGCCAGAAGGGCTCGCCTTGCGAAGGCGAGAGCCCATCTCACGAGAAGCTCATGGACTCCACCACCTTCACCCCTTCCTCTTACTCTTCATCGGGATCCAACGCTAACATCAACAATGCCAACAACACCTGCATGACTGGGGTGGCACCCCAGGGCATCAGTCGATATCCGAGCCCATCCATTAGCACTGTGGATGGGCACACGGGGCAGCCTCTCACCCCAATACTGCTGCCCAGGCCTGCATGGTGCTTCCCTCCAAAGAGGTGAGTGCAGGCTGCATGGCCTCTCTCCATGGGGAGGATTTGACTTTACTCTTAAACCATGAAGTTCTGGTCTTTTCTTTCTTTCTTACTACAAGCACTTGGTGTGATCTGCTGATATTTCCTTATCTTTCAATCATTATCAAAAGGTTGATAAACTATCAACTTTATGTTTCTTCATAAATATAAATGACCACACTCTTTCCTTCCCTTTCTTTTTACTGCCTGTTTTTCTCCTTGTCTCTTGTTTCTGGTGGCAAGCAGGATGTTTTATGACACCCTCATGCGGTATGTTGCCAGGGGTCAGAGAGAGAATGTGTGTGTGTGTTCACTTAGTCTACTGGTCTGTGCAAAAATATGCCATGATGCTATATAAAATAGCATAGCTGTCAAGGTGCAACTGAGGCACTTGTTGCTATGCACATATATACATTTTTAGTTGCTATAGCAAAAGCCAGGCTTCATGCTGCCAGTCTAAAACCAGCTATCAGAGCCAAAGATAGACTGTTTGGCACAGGGTGGCCAAACCTCTCCTCTATCAAGGGCTTCATTTGCTGCTCTGTTGTTTATTGCTGCAGGTCTGGGTTAGACTCTGCTTGTCTCTAACTCACAGAATCTCAGCCTGTGCAAACATCTGAAAGCTCATACTTTTCTGATGTTCACAAAGCATAAAAGCTCAGTTCTTTTGCTGTGTAACTGTAAAATACAGATATCGAATGTACACTAACTAGTGTGTTGTATTGTATTGTTCGGTTATGTATATAAGGACCTAAAATGGGTCTGTTTTGCAACATAATGTGTCCAGTACTTTATCCAGAGCAACATCAAATCATCTATACGGACTTAGACCTTTTGCTCTTAAATTGTACTTTTATTTAAGATTCTCATCATGTACATGACGACTTTCATAGAGAAAAATCACTCGTGGAGAGCACAATTATTAATATTTATTTTTTCAGCCTATTTTTTTTTTGTTGCAGAATTTAAAAAATATCTTCTCAAGTCTCTTAAAAAGGTTTTGAACTTTGGATAGCCATTTGCTGGCTTGTACCGTGTCCTTGTTAACCTGGTTGCAGTTACAGATAACATGTCTCGTTTGCTTTCCTAACCAATAGGGAAGGATTAAATGCCATGTTACATGGAAATGAAAGTATTAGCTTTCTGATGCTCTCTGTATTGATGAATTAAGCAAAAGGAAAACTCATGTGTGATCAGTTATCAACACAGTCCCAGTTACATTTGACTGCAAACTGTTCTAACCCAGAGAATTCTATGGAGCCCTTACAAAGCTGATTCAAAGGACATGGTGGCGCTTTGATATTTTAATCTTGTTTCTCTTCACCAAGCAGTTCTGAAGGAATGTTCTTTTTTCTGAACTGGAATTCATTTAAAAAAAAAAGTAAAATAATGTAATTTCTGAAATTTAAAATGTACCTTTGAAATTTTCTGCAGACTATGTAGTTTTTCATTAAAGACATGTTTTTATATTCTAACTAATCAATCTGGTAAAGGTGAAAAGGATTAAAATGAAAATGCCAGAAAGCTTCCTCACAGCTTAAGTCTGGAGTATGAAACAGATGCGACTGCTGAGTGGACATCTTTGAAAAGCAGAGTGGTAGTTCCCCTTTTTCCTGTTGAAAAAGAAAGTGTAATGCAGATTAATTGATATCGACAGCCACTAATTTATTTCACCAGCAGAAGTTGAAGAACCTATTAGTTTAACTGCCTTCTCGGGGTGAGATAGCAACAGCGGTTCAAACAAACGTGCCATTGTTTCCTCTGCTTTTTTTTCCAAAGATGTCAGATCTCAGTCTTGTTAGTATCTGTTATATTCCAGCTCTTGCCTTTAACGCTATTCACCATTTTGCTTCAACAAATAAGCTGCAATCCCCACCTGCTTTCCCTCAGACTCTTTCTTCTTCTGCTCCTTCTGTTTCCTACAAGCCTTCATGGCTTTCTCAGTCTCCTCTTAAGTTCGATGACCTCTCTGCTAATCCGCTGCTTTTTGCTGTGTTGACATCTGTTTGAAGATTTGTCCATGTTTCTCCATCTGTGGTGTGTGTTTGTTAATTTTGTGGTTTTATTTGTTTGCTTGTTTGTTTGTCTGCTTGCCGGCTTATCTGTAGCTCGGATTCGAGTGACAGTCGTCTGCCAATCATCCAAAGAGGGGAGGGGTCAACAGAGGAGACATACGATGAGAGTTATGGTGACGACAGGGAGTACCAAGAAGATGACCACTCACTCTCGTCTGACATGTACTGCGGAACGATTCACAGTTTAGTCCTCATCTCAAAGTTTTATTTCTTTAAGTGGTTGGTCTGATTTTTCTGTGGGTGCTTGTGCGATTATCAGGTTGGTGTATCATGATGACCCATGTAAGCAGCTGACTCCCATGGAGGAAGCAGAAGAAGTAGAGGACAGAAGAGGAGGAGGAGGGTGGCAGTCTCCACGAAAAGTCTTCCTCTGCCCAACTTCTCTCGGTGAGTAGACTCAAATCAAGTGGAAATATTTGCATAAATTCGTTTTTACTCGTTTTCCTTTTTTTCTCCTGTGTGTTAGTGCGGAGATCGTCCTTCCATTTGGAGTGTCTCCGGAGACAGTCTAAGCCTGATGTCTCCCAGAAGACGGCTGTACCCTTACATCTCGTACATCACCAGGTAGGAAACATACACTTAAAATAATGAGTCTGAACTTCTTCAGGCATAATGTAACTCCCTGGAATTTGCCTCGTTCTCAGGCTCTGGCAGTGGCAGGGCTGAGTCCTTCACTGCTGGCAAGGAGTCACTCACCTACACTCTTTAGCCGGTTGTGCTCCACACCCCCAGCCAGTCCTACAGGTAGAACTCATCATTTGCTGATATCGAAGGCCAAAAACCTGAAAACAATCCGGTCACCAGTGTTACACCCATACACCAGTGAAACCAAAACACTGTTTTTTATTTTTTTCTGAGATTTTATGATCCTTTCTTTGTCTTTTTAGCCCATTGCAGTGATGCGTCTTACCAGCGAGTTCCCTCTCTGAGGTTAGAGGGTTCCAACTCACATGAAAAGCTCAATACCAGCTTACCCTCTGTCAACTGTGGCCCTTGGTTAGACCAAACACTGAAACATGCAGCCATTACATTTAAATTAAACAGCACAACATAGCGATGGTTTCTGTTGAACAAATGCTTCCTTCCCAGGTACAGCGACAGCAACGGGAACAGCCGGGCGCCCAGCCCCAGCATGTCAGTGTCCAGTCACAGAGCACCGCGACCTGTGTCGCTCACAGTGCCCTCGCTTTTGGGGAAGGACCCCAGCTCACTGTCTCATGGCAGCGCAGGCAGCCTGGTGGAAGCGGTGAGTCTTCCCCACAGTGCCTACACACCACTTTATATCCAGCCCGTTCTCAACGACACACAGCGCCCGTGAAAACATGAAAGCAGTAACCCCCTACCTGTTAATTTTACTTTTTTGCCAACATTTCTTAAGGTCCTCATATCGGAGGGTTTGGGTCGTTTCGCCCAGGACCCTTCATTCATCGAGGCGACCAAAGCCGAGCTGGCAGACGCCTGCGACATGACCATAGAGGAAATGGAGCAGGCCGCCAACAACATTCTAAACGGCAACACCCCCACAAACCCCACGTCCAGCACCTCTTCCACCTCTCAGCACAGCCCTAATGGCAACCTCCTGCCCTTCTACTCGGCCGCAGCGGCCGCGCACAGGGACCGAGTGGTCAGCCTGAGTCCCAGTGAAAGCGGGGCGGAGGCCGGGGGGAACCGTGACTCCATCCACGGGCCGTCCTCTATAGAGGAGCGGCAGGAGCTGCTAGCCAGGGGGAGAGGGAGGGAAGAGGAGGAGGAGGAGGAGGCAGAAGAGACTGAGGAGGGACACCACAGAGGTTCAGCAGTGATAGCGGGAGCGCCGCAGCGGAACAGCCGGCTTTTGGATGATGAAGATATGGAGTGTGTGACGAGCTTGTAGATGTCGCTTCAGCCGGTTCAGCCAATGAACTGGTCCCGCCGACGTCCCGGACTGACCTTAGTCAGTGCTAGTTAACAGCATCAAGGCTGGCTCTGTCTGTCCCCACAATTCACTCACACTCACTTACAAACACTGTCGCTCTGGACAATGGCGGCCAGTGATGCAACCTTCAACACATGATTATGACTGTGTGGGTTTATGTAAGTTAGGGACGTGCGTGAATGTTTGTCGTAAAGTACACCAGACTATATACTATCTGAGTGTGTGCGTGTGTGTGTGTGTGTTTCTATATGATTTTCTTTATTTGTACATGTATGTGTTTTCTCCACACGTGTCTGAGTGTGGCTCTAAAGTGCCTCACAGTATCATGTCCTCAAATTCTGAAGAGCAGAAAAGTAAAGATGAGCAAAAAAAAAAGAAAAAAAAACTGAATGAAGGAAAGGCAGATGGGAAATAACAATGGCAGAATTCCTTTTCTGGATTTGCTGATAATTACATATGTTCTGTTTTCATGTTCAATGCCTACTGTGGTGGTGTGTTATTGTTGTTTGTCTGGCCGCCATGATGCCAGATAGGGGACAGCAGACCAGCTTGTGGAGGGGTCAGTTAAGGATTTTAATCTGACCGCGTCCACTAGAGGTCACGGGTTAACTCCTCCATCTTGGTTCATTGAAGACGAAGCGCTGTATTGAGTCAAACGGGGGTGAGAGAAACCCAGTTTGAAATTTTCATTTCTCCTCCTCTTCCAAAGCTACCGAACCCTGGAGCACAGCCCTGCCAGTCAGGAGGTGAGATTAAGGTGACACACCACCCCCAGCCAAGCGGGAAAGGATTTGAGGGATGGTCCAACAGCCACAGTGCTGCGAGGGAGGGGGGGGGCACAGGCAGATACTCTCGAGCCAGCAGGAGGCCAGCCAGCTTTTTTTCTCCGCTGGTCATTAAGACTCCAGCCAGAGACGAACTCACCTCGTCTGTCACCTCGATCTGGCTTCACCTCCACCACCTCCTTTCCTTGTTTGGCTACACCCACTAGCTGCCCCAAACAGGAATGGAGAGAAGCATTTGGTGGCTGAGAGACAGCTAACCTCATTCTCTGCCTCATACCTCACTGTTCTGCACTACTTCCTCCCTTCTCTTTGGCTATTTTACCATCCCTATCTCTTCATTGGTGAGTGTGTTTGCTTTTTCAGCACTCGGAGAGGTGTGTGTTTGTCATACAAGGCAACTTGATTGGATGGGTGGAGGAGCAAATGGGACTGATGATTGGAAAGAGAACAGACTCTGGGAACAGGTCCAAACTGGGCCTGCCGTCAGTTGACCTCACTTCCTTCTTCAAGACCCTCCTCTTCTTCTCAGTTCGGAATCCTTTTGGATTTGCTGCCACATACTCTGTCTACAGACCACGCCCACTATGTATTTAACAGTCAATATTGTGCAAAACTGGCTAGCCATGACTATTTTGTTTTGTATCCATGATGCTATTGGTTTAATTTATCCTTGATTTGTTTGCACAGTCAGGGTGCTGGTCTTATAAATATATTTTTGCTCAGTTTATTATAGAAGAATTTTAAGAGGTTTTAGGTATTGAAGCAGGGCGTAGAGTCTGTGTGAGAGTGTGTAACTATATTTGTGTGTTTGGATGCGTGTCTGCATTTTAGTACAGAATGTATGAGTGTACAAGTGTGTGAAATTGTGTGTGTATCTAAGGGGAGGGGGGTCTTTCTCTCTATCAGTATGCACCTTTTACAGATTGTATCTATTTATTTATTTATTTTCCCAGAAGAGAAAAAAAAGTGAGAGGGTGTGATTGTGCGTGAGTGTGTGTGTGTGTGTGTGTGTGTGTGTGAAATGGATTTTCTTTTGTATTCTTAAAAGCCGATTTTAAGTCTAGACAGTAAATTAAGGTAGCATTACAAGTATGTTGTTATGTGTGGTGTGGGTGAACCAGGGTGCGAATGTGAGTTTCTGTAATAATGGGCCTCCTTAACACAGGGTTAACGTGGACAGGCATGCTTCCAAAGCTTTGTGGTTTTTACTTTTCAGCCAAGCTGCAGAGTGAGAAGTCACTTTGTTCTGAGCACTAGCCAATCGCAAACCTTTTCCTTATCATCTTGTTGTAGTTAGGCGTGAGGTCTCCAGAGAGGTCAGAGCGAGGAGCACATTCGTATGTAGTTTCTGCATTGCAGCATGGCCTTAAGCTAAGAAGCCTTTTGGCTGTTGCTGCTTTTCTAATTTATGGTGGATGGTTGCCCTAAATGACAGAAGCACTAAAAATCCATACTGCCATAGTGGCACCTTGTGGAGGAACTGGGGGGTAGCACTCCGATCACATCCACACCACATAGTGTCATCTTTTAGTAGAAGTTTAACTCAAAATGAATTAATAGGGCTGGTAAGTGGATGCTGCAAGACTTCTCTACACATCAGTTTATCCGAGACTCATATCAAAACATTTAATTATCGATTTCTTTCCTGTTTTTTCACCAGCTACAACAAGACTGACTTCATTTCCACTGATTGATCATTAGAACTTTTTAAAGTGAGGAAAATTGTATTGGATTAAAATAACAAAATTGTTAGTTCTGTTCTGTGTTTTTTTTACACTGAACGATAGGTAGCAGTCTGAGATCTTTATTAAGACTTGTTTCATGATTTTAGAGTGGATCTAAGAAGATTGCCAGGTATGGTATCAAAGCCTCAGTATATTATATATGGCACAGGTTTCACTCTGAAGTTGTATCATTTCTACAGAAAGCATTCCTGGTATCTCCAGAGCAGCACATGTACACATCGCCACTTTTCTCATTTTTCTAAGGACTTCACATTATACAAAACTCAAATATTCTACTCAGCTTGCTTAAAATACAGAGTATTTGAAAAAATATAGGTGCTCCAACAATACCATAATCCCAATGCAAAGACAACCAGAAGCAGAAAAAACGGAATCTCACTGCTTATATGTAATCACGTCTCAATTTCTTAATTAAAATCCACAGAGGTGATTGGAAAATAATTTTGGTTAGGGCAAGAACATGTTTTTATGTGTTGTCTCTGATACGCCCTCGAACATTCAGAGGTGCTACAGGAGCTTTTGTAATTTAAAGAAAAAGGTTTTGAGGACACATTGGCTGTTGGGGGTCACCATAGGCTTATACATTTTCTCTTCGATTTACCATTACTCTCTTGCTCCAATTCCTACACTATACAGAAGAGCAGGTCTGTGGCAAGGAAGAGTATGCATAAACACACTGCCATACACTGCATCCTGTGCCAGTAATAGACTTCTGTCATTATTATGCAATCTAAATGTGAATGTTGAAAATGTTACGTGGCAGTGCTGTTGTTGTTGTTGGTCATCATCATACTGCAACTCTGATTCTCATGTATTTCCCATCCTGAAATATATTAGTGTTTCTTTACATTTTCTCAGTAGAATTTTCAAATCACCTATTTGAAAATAATTTTGTATTGTAACTGTCAGGCCTTCTTGTGGTAGGTGGCTCACATAGTCTATGTTTCAGGACAATATGTTGCCAAAAATGTAAAAGCTCATTTCTGTATTGTCGTTTTTTGGACAGGATCTGATCTAGTTTTTATCTAGAAGTAGCACAGTTTAATTTTGTGCTTTTTCTTTTTTTTTGCCTCCACATTTAAAAGACAATAAGATTGCTCCCCCGACTTGTTTCTGATCTTAAAACTATGAGCTGAAATTTTCATTTATAGAACAGCAGACATCTGACCTTTTTTTAGCCATATTATCTGCATATTTATCAACAATCTCTGAAATCAGAACCATGAATCGATTGACTGTCATTTTCAGATTTGGCCGAGATCAAATTGGAGAATCCCCACATGCCTTCACTTCCTAAACTTCCTTCATCCTGACATTCATTTAGGCATGTCAGACATACAGTAAAGTGTCAGTTTGGCCTCCAGACGTGACGGGTGTCGCTGGTGGCTCTTCATTTTTAGCAGTGACAGATTCAGAAACCTGTGGTGCCCCTGTGTGAAGTTGAGCAGCATTGCGGTTTTCATGTGATTTGTGGGTCCGCATGAGCTATGAGGTGTTCTGTTGCAGTGACATGAGTGGGTGTAATCCTGCAACCCACAAGATATGCAAAAACAATGCAATAACTATGACTGTGTAGGTTCCTGAAGAAAAAAATGCTTGTGAAAGTTTCAAAGATTTCAATTTTATCATCGTCAGTAAGATGTGTTATTTTCTGTTAGTTACATTTTCAAGTACACTCAGTGGGTACCACACCAGAAAAACCTAACATACTTGAAATCAGGTACATGACAGTGCAGTATAGTGAAGATGTATTTATTTATCTTTCTCGTGCCAGGGTGATGGTCAAACATGTTTATTAAGACAGAGATTTAAAGCCAGTGTTTGGCTTGTCGATAACCTCGCAGAAAGTATTTATTTTTGGTTAATCAGCAGCAAAACAAACTGTTTTCTTCTCCCTGTCTCAATATTTTTGACTACCTCCTTCTAGCTTGTGTTTTTTCTCCAGATATAGTTTTTGGGTTGAGTTCTGTGGGTGTACCATCAGTATTGCATGAGGTTCACATGTTGATTGAGCGCTCCAGGTTTTCCGATCAGGTTAAGTATCATATCACATTAGTACAGAGTAGCTTTTTCTATTTAATGTACATATTGTGGTTAAAGTCAGTATTTCTTTTTTTGATAGATGATTAACTTTACAGCTGCAGAGGGGTATTTGGAAGATGATTTTGCATATCTTGTGTCTTCTGGGCTCTTATTTATTTTCTGATTCCTGACCCTTAGAAGTACAGAGATGCAATTATCAATCACCAGACACATAGTAAACGAAAATTCCTGTAGGCTTGAGTTTAGAAGGCTGTCACGAAAACATACCCGTGTGTTGCTGTGTGGTTTTACTTTCATGGTATCCTCAGCTGTTTTGTAGAAAAGCCAATTGGAAATGTTCCCTTCAAAAGAACCAAATAGACAATTGTTTTATTCATAGAACAGA